CTAATTTCTTCCCATTGCTGTAATAAAATACAGAGGGCTAACAGGGGCCCTTGAGAAAGGGAGAAAGGGCTGCCTTGGCTTTCAGTTCCAGGCTACCATTCATCACTGCCGAGAAGTCAAGGAAGGTGAAGCAGCTGGTCACACTGTAGCCATTGAACTTTAAATACAAAGTAGCCCCATAAGTGCCCGCCTGTGTCTGACACTTGGTCCTGTTGGGAAGTAGCGGACCTCTAGGAGATGGAACCTCACTGAAGGAAGTACCTCACTAGTCACTGGCCCCACTTCCCGATTCTCTCTCTCTCTCTCTCTCTCTCTCTCTCTCTCTCTCTCTCTCTCTCTCTCTTTGTCTCTGTCTCTGTCTCTGTGTGTGTGTGTGTGTGTGTGTGTGTGCGTGCCTGCCTGCCTGCCTGCCTGCCAATATGTCTGTCTCCTGTACACACTTGAAAAGGAATGGATCAGCCTGCTTCCTGCCTGCCAGGCTATCCTCACACTCCTGTCGTCAAGCCTCCCTGTCATGATAGACTGTCCCCCTTCCTGGGACTCTAAGACAAATAACCCTTTTCTTCCTTAGCTTGCTTGTGGTCAGGCTATTCTGTCAGAGCAACAGAAAAGTAAGAAATGTGACGTCCAAGAGCAAAGAGAAAATGAATGCGTCCATGCCTAGTTCTCAGCTAACTTTCTCTATCCTTACACACTCCACATCCAAACCTAGGAAACGATGGCACTTACTTCTGGGCTAGTTCTTCCCACATCAATTAAGGCCATCAAGACAGCCCCCAGCAGACATAGCCAGGAGGCAGTCTGATCTAGAGGATCCCTCGCTGAGACTCCCTTCCCAGGGAATTCTAGGATGTGTCCAGGTGACAAAACTGACCAGCACACTCAACCATTGTACATATTCTTCTTTAAAGAGATAAAGGGAATACCTATTCCTAGAAATAGATTGCTGCCCCGCTACTGTGTCAAGAACAAACAGGGGAGGCCTGGCGGTAGCATATGGTTTGTAGGACTGGCCTTTGTACCTGGAAGTCACTATGCTCTGTATGATTCTCTCTTCTGGTAGTTTAGCAACGGATGGAATACTGAAAACTTGTTGGACATAGTGGTACCCATCTTCAATCCCAGCACTTAGGAGGCAGAGACAGGCAGAAGGGAAGGGAAGGAAGAGAGGGAGGGAGGGAGAGAGGGAGGGAGGGAGGGAGGGAGGGAGGGAGGGGGGGGGGGGGGGGGGGGGGGGGGGGGGGGGGGGGGGGGGGGGGGGGGGGGGGGGGGGGGGGGGGGGGGGGGGGGGGGGGGGGGGGGGAGGGAGGGAGGGAGGGAGGGAGGGAGGTCATAAAAACACATGAAAGGATTGAAGTTGTCATAACCCACAAACAGCCCCCAGGCCCTTCATCTCCAACTGTATGAAAAAAGAACCAGCAATAATGTCCAGCTGTGTGAATTTACAACTGGATTTGAACTTGAACAACGATTTTTCAGATGTTTACTAGGCACCAAGCCTGAGAATATTAAATATTTCTATCAAATATTTCCTTCAGTCCTCACAGCAAACGCCATGCCGGAAGCATCACTGGTGGCCCCATTTTCGCTCCTAAGGAGACAGAGTGCTTGTGTGTTCTTAGGTGAGCTTCTAGAACCAGTGAGAGTAGACTACGAATGAGCTCACACGGACAGTTGCCGTGGTTACCGGATGAGGAACCGTTAGCATCAGAATTTGAATCCCTGTCTTTCTGACTGCGCAACCTGTGCTGTTAATCGTCTCATTGCCCTGGCCATCTTGACCAGCAATCTATTTTATCAGCGAGCTGAAGTTAATTCATTGCCCAGACTCCTTCCTGAGCCTCCCACACTGGCTCATTAATAAAGATCAGAGAAGTACGTGCCGAGTGTATGTGGGTCCAGTATCTTATTATTCTTGGTCTTCCCCCATTAAAAGTGACCAGAACAGGGGTTGGGGTGTAGCTCTGTGATATAGCACTCCCCAGTATATATGAGTCTCTGGGTTTAGCCACCACTACATAATAAAGTAATTAATGGCATAAGAACCTGAGTTTGATCACCCAAAGTCCACATCTAAAACACTGGTTGTAGTGGTCTTCACTTCCAATCCCAGCACTGGGGGAATGGAGGCCTTTGGATCCCCGGGGCTCACTGGCCAGCCAGCCTCGCCGAAGATGAGAGAAAGTGATGGCGAGAGCAGCTGAGGGAGACATCCAGGGTTGGCCCCTGGCCCCCACATGCATGTGCATGCATGTGCACATAACCACATACTTACATCATAGAAGAGAGTGATGCTGACCAAGCCCGGGAATGGCTAGAGGAATCTTCGTTAACTAACTTAGTTAGGACTTAAGACAATTCTTTTCCCTTTCAAAACAGAGGAGAAATACCTCGGTGACCGTGTCAGGGTGTCCCAGTCCTTTCATGAATAAAATGTGTGCTCCTTTGTCTGTTCTTCCTCGTCATGTTAATTCAGATAGGGAGATCTTTCAGTTTAGAAACATTCACCATTGGAGCTGGAGCCATGGAGATGTCCACCCTCTAGAGTGTCCTTATTAGACGTTGGTCTTCTGAAGGGCAGACTTGAGCCCATACAACATGGCCAGTTTTCCCTGGAAGAGTTAAGCCTTAGCACCGAATGTTTTCTTTTGCCCAATTTTCGCACGAGTGTCTGTGTGTGTGTATGTGCACACATATGTTTACAGGCGTATACACCCATGTGAGTTTGTGCTGAGGCTGGAGGAGGACAGCGGGTGTCCTGCACTGTCACACGTGGCCTTATCTCCTTGAGACGGGGTCTCTCACTGAACCTGGAGCTAGGCTGGGGCCATCCAGCCTCAGCATCTTTCTCCATCGTACACAGCTGGGGTTGCAGGGATGTGTGACCTCACCCAGATTCTTATCTGAGGGTTCAGACTCAGGTCCTCTTACTCACAGGGCAAGTGCTGTTACCCACTAGGTCCTCTCCCCGGTCCTTGAATGCCTTCTTGTCGTGTGTTTCTCCCTTCTGTGGTAAAGAATTCTAGAAGGATGGAGTGGAAATAATATGAAATCCTCAGAAAGAAAGAAGAGAGGGGAGTCAGGGAGGGTGGGAGGGGAGGGAGGACCACATATAGACACAGTGGCGGATCAGTAGAGAAAGCAAGTTGGTACAGATGAGGTGTGTGTCAAGACTGTTAGTAGGCAGAAGCCTTTGGCGAGTTTTCTCTACCTGGATTATTGCCATCCAACCCTTAGCTGTGCTCTGTGCCCTTCATACAATGTGCCTCACTGTGCCCTCGCAGGTATTGAGTACACAGGAAGCAAGAGAAAAACTCCTTACTGGCAGCTGACAGAAAACTGTTACTTCAGTGTTTCAAAGGCATGCATCAGTTCCTGTCATCTTAATTGGTGTGACAAGAAAACTTGTTGCCAAGAAATAGTGAGGTAGCCAGGCAGTGGTGGCACACACCTGTAATCCCAGCACTCAGGAGGCAAAGGCAGATGGATCTCTGTGAGTTTGAGGCCAGCCTGGTCTACACAGGGAATTCCAAGACAGCCAGGAAGACACAGAGAAACAGTCACGAAGAAGGAAAACAAGAAAAAGAAAGAAATGATGTCGTGTTTGCTTGTGGTATAATGATCCTGGGAAGTTAGTGAGCGAGGCTTGGGAGAATCAGGCCCAAGTGTGCCTTATTTCACCTGTGTGTGTATATGGTGTGTGTGTACACACGTGTGTGTTCATATCTATGAGTACAGGTACATGAATGCCACAGTCTGCATGTAGAAGTCAGACAGAAACCTCAGCTATCCATCCTTACCTCCAACCTTGTTTGAGATAGGTCACTATTGTTCACCATTGCATAATCCCAACTAGCTGGCCTTCAGGATCAAAGGGGTCTCCCTCCTCTGCCTCCAGTCTCACTGTAGGAGCCTGGGATTACAAAGTGTGCTACAGCATCCAGTTTCGTGTGTGCTTTGGGGATCTAAATTCAGGTTCTGATGCTTGTACTGCAAGCACTGAGCCCTCTCCTCAGCCTCCCCTCCCCCCGTGTTTCTGTGTACTGAGATGCTCTGGTGCCAGTAGTGCTCAATTGTTGGTGCAAATGATTATTCAGATATAATTAAGTTTAGGTCACATTCAAGTCCATCAAGCAATGGCCTCTAATCCTTTAATAGAAGGTGCAGATGGGTGGATCTAAAGGAGATAACCCCTCTCCCAAAGATTCTCTGTTTAAATGGATAGGCGTTTGCTGCCTCCATTTCTTCCAAAGCTGTTTTTGATGATGTAGAGTGGAGGAGGGCATCAGCACTTCTTGGCAGACCCTCATTTTCAGAGGTCAAGAAATACTGTGGACTTCAGCAGCTTTGGTTAAACCTGCCAAGACCCTGTCCGTATCTGCTGGCATTTTCTTCTCAAAGTTGAAAAGAGAGGGGCTGCCTGATGCTATCCTGTGTCCCCAGCTGTTAGTGGATTGTTAGGGTCAGATCTGGGCCTTGGCAGCCCCGACATGCCAAGTAGGTGCAGCCATTTTTCCTCAATGGGTCAGTTAGAGGGACCAGGGATAGTGGAGTGCAGAGAAAGGGGAATTACTTGTGACCGCACTGGGGAGAGAACAAATAAAGGGATCTCGTGACTCCCACATCATCTTTGGGTCCCGGCACGGGGCTTAGGTTAAACAGAGGACAGGAGATTTCATCACTAATCGGTCCTGGTCCAGGTGTGATTCAGTCCATCACTGATACATCCTTCTCTCAGCTCCAGTCTGCCCTGCAGTGCCGTCTGATGAGTTGTCAGACTGGGTGAAATCTCTTCCCTGGAGACAAGTTCTTCCCTGACTGACATCAGGCTCCTGCCTTTCCCTTCTTTCTGCTTGAGACTAAATTCCAGTTCCATGGGACTCATTGTTTCAATATCTGATGGCCAAAGGGAGGGGCTCTAATGCCTGTCATCTTTAGAATATCTTCATTACTGCCTGGATAGTTACATTTCTTGGGGGAAAGAGCCTGGGTATTCCTGAATGCGATGCACAAGGAACCCCAACATCCTCCACCCTACCCCACTCCCACCAGGCACGGGCTGTGTGCCTCTGGAGCTCTTTCAGACTTGGCGTCTGCACGTGAGAGAGAGAACCAGGATTAGATACATCTGGCAGCAGCCATGCACAGCACCTGGTATACACAGAGTCTGTGTCACTGACCTGTGGTGTCAATCCCAGTGACTCCCTGCCGTTGTGGGCTCGCTAAGGACCTTTAGCTTGTTTCTGCTGCCATCTACTGTCCGTCTCGGGAAAGTCATGGTTTGCCAGCCGGGGAGGGAAGTGGGAAATCGCAGCCTTTGCGACTTCTGCTCCCACAGAGCGTAAAACATAACCTGCCAGCTGGTGGTGTCCCCAGTGAAAACTGTCATAAAACCTGTGTTTACTGACCTCCCAAGTTCCAAAGCAGTTCCATTTGAACTGTAATCAAGTGACCTTTCTGTCCCTGGGTCCCAGAGTCCCTGAAAGGGCCCCTTGTTCCCTGCCTGAGTGAAGAAAACTTCTGTTTAGTTAAGCAAGTGTTTTTGCAGTTATGCCTCCTGCTAAGGGACAGAAGGACAATTGTTGGATCTTGTGTTTATTGCTGGTTTTGTTTCATACTCCCACTGTCTCTTCCCCAGAGTCCCACCTCTTCTTTACTTTCATATCAGCAAGGGAGCAGGGAATAAGGCAAGCCACTCCACAGGGCCTTGCATTTCCTTTGCTGTACCTGCAGCTCTGCAGATCCTGCTATAAGCCCCTTCTTTCTGTCCCAAGTCACCAACCTCGAGAGCTAAGCCCCTCGCAGTATGTCAGAGGCACCCACAGAAACTGACCGTTGGACCTGGGAGGCAGTTGTGATGCCATGTTCATGTGATGTGTTTTCCTGTCTTACAGCTGTTTGTTGGGCTGGGATTCCCCTATGAGGGTCCAGCTCCCCTGGAGGCCATCGCAAATGGCTGTGCTTTCCTGAACCCCAAGTTCAACCCTCCCAAGAGCAGCAAAAACACAGACTTCTTCATTGGCAAGCCGACCCTGAGAGAGGTGAGCATCAGAAGCGTTCCTCTTTCTTCTATGCTTTTGTGTTTATGTGTGTGTGGGTGGGTGGCATGTATGTGCGCATGTGCATGTGCAGGCATGTTTGTAGAGGCCAGAGGGTGTAGTGTGGGGTCTTCCTCCATCACTCGCCACTATATTCACTGAGGCAGAGTCTTTCAGTGAACTCAGAGCTCACTGATGTGAGTGCTCCAGCTTGCCTGGGGTCCCCTGCCTCCACCTCTTAGGCTCTGTGATTAAAAGCTGGCTGCTATGCCCACCCTGTGCTGAGGACCCATGCGCACACCGCCTTTGTACAGCAGGCTCCTGTCTGCTGAGCCAACTTTCCAGCCCCTACCCCAACTCGCTTTTCAGTGACCATGGTGGGTGTTCTTTCTAGTCTTCTCATCACGGCTGACAGCTGGTAGGAGGAGGCCCCTGGGAACACTCACTGGCCCCTCCATTGCATGTGGCGATGGTAAAGAAGAAACGCTGGCCAGTGCAGTGACTCTTCACAGAGAACGTCAGCCGCAGAGTGGGGGAGATGGACTAGTGAATAAAGCGCTTGCCCTGCACGTTAAATCCCCAGAACTCTGTAAAGAGCTAGGCATGGTAGCAGGCTCCTAGAACCCCAGAACCGAGGAAGCAGAGACAAGTGAGTCCCTGGGCTTCGCTGGCCAGCCAACCTAGTTTTCTTGGCGAGTCCCAAACTGATGAAAGACTATGTCTTGAGAAAACAAGGTAGATAGTGCCTGAACAACAGCCAAGCTTGGCCTGTGACCTCTATAGGTTTGAGCGAGCATTTACACACACACACACACACAGAGGGGGGGGGGATATTCCTGAGATTTCAGCCCACCCTCAGCAGGCTGTCAAGCCATCCCCGCATAGCGAGAGCCTCTCACAGGAGCCTTGGCGCATTTGCGTTTGCAGATGCTCTTGAAACCTGCAGTGGGGTGATGAATCACCACAGAGCATCGCTGGGGTTCATTCGGGGCCATAAACAGAAGTCATTACAGCTCCGTGTGGGTGATCAGTGTGCCAAAGGTGGGGATGATTCTGTATCTGGGCAGACACAGGTGTGTGCAGGAAACCATGAGATTGGCTTCTGTGTTATTTCTGGGCAGTTAGTGGCTCCCCTGGCTGCTCATGCATGGGGACATTAACGCTGAATCCCTCGGGGCCTTTGGCTGGAGAGTTAGGGCTGGAAAGGCCTAGTGTGACACAGCAGCTGCTGTTTCTAGAACATTCATTTTCAGTTCTGTTGCTTTTTTAACCCTTTGGGACACTTCCTCGACTTGTCTTCCAAGAAGTACGTCAAATACGTTTCTCCCCGTTGGAGTCTTTATGAAGTGACTATTTAGATACAGTGTCCTTTTTTGTTTGTTTTTGCTTTTAGAGACAAGGTCTCTCTGTGTAGTGTTGGCTGTCCTGGAACTCGCTCTGTAGACCAGGCTGGCCTCCAACTCACAGAGATTCACCTGCCTCTGCCTCCCAAGTGCTGGGATTACAGGCATGTACCACCACTGCCCAATACTTTACCTATTTTTAAATGGGGGTTTGTTGATTTTTTTTTTTTTTTTTTTTTTGCTTTTGAGCGGTAGAAGTTCCTTAGATATTTAGGATATTAACCCTTTAACAGACATAATTTGCAAATATTTTCTCTTATTTTATTTGTAGGTTATTTCTCTTGGTATGTAAAACCTTTAAAGGTTGAAGCTGTGGAAATAGCTTCAGTGGGTAATGTGCTTGCCACACAAGCAGGACGACCTGTGTTCAGACCCTAGAACACATGTTTGAATACAAAGCAAACAAACATACCTAGGCACAGTAGCACTCACCTGTAATCCTAGAACTGTGGGGAAGGAGACAGGGGATCCCTGGGGCTTGCTAGCCAGACAACCAAGCTTGTCCAATTTGTCCCAGGCTAGGAAGAGACCCTGTTCCAAAGAAATAGAGGGATGGCTCAGGAGTAATAATCTGAGATTGATCTTTGGTTTCCACATGGGCATGCATGCACACACATGTATATATGCACACATGCACACACGCTCACACACGCACGCACACACATGCACGCACACACATCCACAAAGAGGACACTCCCGAACACATCTTACCCCATGCCCAGGGAATGACGTCACATGACAGTGCTCACATCAGTCAATATTGAGGAAGTGTCCCTTGTCCTCTGCCACTTGCCATCATCTGTGTGATTGTGCTGAAGTTGGGGAGGACACTCATCCTCTGTCGTGTAATGAGAGAAGAGACCTTGAAGCACCCACAAGGGAATATTCTGTCCGTTCTTAAATGACACCATGAGAGAGAGTATGGAGTCCTGTCATCAGTGGTTCCGCATGTGGCCTTATCCAGACAACTCCATAAGCCCAGTGTTCCCACAGGAGGCCAAGGTGCCAAAGGGAGTGGACAGAAGCTGAGCCTATCCACGCAATAGCCTATGGTACTTGCTGCCATCCTGGGGGAGTTTGGCAGAGAGTTCTCCATTTTCTAGTAGTTTCATATCTGATGTGGGAGCTTGAGAAGGCAACGGCACCATCATACAATGTAGAGAGATAGCCAGAGTCGGAGTGGGGATGTGGCCTGGTTGGTAGAGCACTTGCCTGGCTCAGAAGCCTTGGGTTTCATCCCCAGCACTGCAAGAAATAGGTGTGGTGGCTCACACCTGTAACACCTTCACTTTGGAAGCAGAGGCAGGAGAGTAAGAAGTTCAAAGTCAGTATCAGCTATATAGCAAGTTCAAGGCCAACCTGAAATACACGAGACCGAAATAAAAGCTACGTGGATGAAAGAGGGGAGTTACCTTGGAGTTGTAGAAAGGCGGAATTTCAGTGTTAGCGGAGAGGGATTGGGGTGGGCTTTAAATAGAAAGGAGAGAACTTCTAGAGTGGGTGAACAATGGAGAGCCAAGGTTTGTCAGCCTCATGCAGGAGAAGGACATCTAACAACTCTTGAGAGGGAGTGGTGACCTTGATCTCGTGGCAAAAAGAGCCATGTGCCTTGCTTTCACAGCTCTCAAAAGCCCGCACATCTCCTTAACCAAAAATGCTTCTAACTGGGAAAGAGCTGCCAACAAGTCTACAGAGTTCTACATCGACCTCTAGAACAGCGGTTTTCAGCCTATGAGTCTCGACCCCCAAGGGTTGCATACCCTGCTTATCAGATATTTACATTCTGATTTGTAACAATAGCAAAATTACAGTTATGAAGTAGCAATGAAATCGTCTTATGGTTGGGGGTCTCCCCCGCATGAGTAGCATTAGGAATGCTGGAAACCACGGATCTAGAAGGAACTGGGGAGATGCTCAGTGGTTAAAGCACTTGCTGCTCTGGCAGAAGACTGGAGTCAGTTCCCAGCGCCTACATCTAGTGGCTCATAAACTCCGGTTCTAGGGGATTCATGCCCTCTCTAGCCTCTTTGGGTACCAAGCATGTACCCAATACACACACACATATATATATGCAGGTACTGACACAACACAACTGATAGACAGACGGATGGACCTAGTAATTCAAGCATGGTGGCATATGCTACCAGCCTGGGAAGGCAGACAGAATCCCTTGATTTTACTGGCCAAGGAATTGGCAAGCTCCAGGTTCATTGAGAAATTCTGTCTCCAAAAGAAATGGTGAAGAATAAGCAAGAAAGCGCTCTCTCTCTCTCTCTCTCTCTCTCTCTCTCTCTCTCACACACACACACACACACACACACATACACACACCCTTAGAAATGATCTCTCTTGCCTCAGCAAATGGAAAAGTTTTAACCCAAAGTCACATACTGCCTCTGTGTCCCTTAGACACTTTCTGTTGAATGACCCTTCCCACACAAACACTGATTAAGGTCAGTTGTCTTTATTTCTCTTTGCCTTCACTTGAAGGAAAGGGGAAAAACTGAGATCTCCAAATTTGAGTTTAGCTTTGTTTTTATTTTTGCATCAGACCAAATTTTCAGAGTGCATTGTCTGTTCAGAGCAGGGAAGAAAGACTCCAGATTGCTTTGAGGAGGGGAGCTGCTTCTTTGTACTTTAATATAAATTAGATTTTTATCTTTATATTGGGGAACATATTAATAGGTTCCTGTAAAGGGAGCGTAGAATCTCCTTGCAGGCTCTACAGAGGTTCTGAAGTCACCTCTCATATTTCCCATGATGCTGCTTGTCCGGAGGATGCTCAGTAAACCTACTGACAGATATACACTCAAAGGGCTGAGATCAGCAGTCCTCAATAACTTAACAAGGAGGAACACAGAGTTCTGAGAGGGCTTAATGAATCAAAAAGGCCTCACTCGTAAAATTAAGTAACCCTCAGCAAATGCAAACGAATCAAACAGTAATGGCTTGGCATCTGCATTGTGTGTTTGCTGAGCGCCTGGAGCAGTCTTGTCAATAAGCAGGGGCCTTGAAAGAGATGACTCAGTGGTGACATTGCTGGTAGTAGAAATGTTTGCAGTAGAAGGACTAATTAGCTTGTCCTCTAGGCCACAAAGCGGAAATGATCTGACAGTCTGCCCATCCTCTCAAAAGGTCTAACATGGCAGAAACGCAGCCCTACGATGGAGAGATATACATATACATATATGTGTAAATTTTAAGAGTGGTTTTGAGGCTTTGTTCATTTTTTTTTCTTAAGAATTTGGTGGTGTTCTCAGTTTGGTGGTTTGCTCAAAGACCCTGAACTGGAACTGGGGAGACAGCTCGGTTGATGTAAAAGGCTTGGAGGACTTGATTCCGGCCTCAGAAGAGAGGTAAAAAGCTGGGTGTGGTAATGTGATCCTGTAATTCCAGTGCTAGAGGCAGCAACAAGCAGATCCCTGGGCTTTTTGGCCAACCGGCCCAGGTTGATTCAGGAAGGACACCCAAGATTGACTTCTGACCTCCACACTCATGTGCACACTCATATACACACAAGCACGTCCCCATAAAGCCGTTCAGTTGCTCAAGGGTCTAGATTTGAACTTGGCTTTGCTGTTTTCTAATTATGTAGACTCCAAGAACCTTGGGATCCTTGTGATATATAGGAAGCCTAATAAATAATATATGGATTGGGGATCAGCTCAATGCCTGACCCAACCAAAGACCTTGTGGATTGGTATCGAATCAAAATATTTTATACAGAGGTGGTTTTTTTTAATTAGCAAATAAGGTTTCCATGACTCTGGGCCTGCAAACTCCTCAGCACTGACCACAGAGCCTGAGAAACGAGGTGGGGGTTGGGGGGGTGGCTGTGACAGGAGAGGGAGCTTGCATAGAAGCCAAGAAAGGCTGCAGCCTCAGGACTGCAAGGTCTTCAGATTTCCTGGAGACTTTCCCAGAGGCTTGTGCTCCTAGCTTCCTGCCCCAAACTGGACTGGCAGAGGCTGGTGTGATGAGGTTCCAAGGGCAGTGGCAAAGAGATGGCAGGTGCTAATTAGCTTTGTAGTTCTCTAAGTGTCTATGTACTTGTGGAAATAGAGAGAAAGGGAAAAACAAGAAAGAGAGGCGGGCTGGCCTCAGAAGCCAAAGCCATAGCACTAGCATCAGCAATAGCAGCTCCTGTAATGAACAGGTTAAGATGCATTTCCCAGCTGCAGAGATTGGGCAGTGGGTGAGAGCCCTTGCTGAACAGGTACTATCTCCAGCTTTGGGTCCTGAGCACCAACACACAAGCCGAGCATTGCCTCCAGCTCCTGCACCAGCTGTGCTGGGTGGTGGGGAACAGAGATCCCTGGGGCTTGCTGGCCTCCCAGCCTAGCTAAAATCAGTGAGCACAGGTTCAGTATGAGACATGTCTCACATGAATAAGGCAGAGAGTGGAGTGGCACAGCCAGGCACCCAGTGTCTTCCCCTGGCCTTGGCACACACACACAAGGGCATGCTCCTGCACATACATTGCCCACACTGTTACATTCAGTAAATGAGTGACTGAGGGAACAAGTTAGTAAATTAATAAATAAAGAATAAATAGAACGTATTTCCTCTCCAGAAATGAGATTTGCAAGTAATAGAACTTGCCTTTGTAGATAATTTTTTACATTTATAATATATATAAAAGAAATATGTAAAAAAACTATTTCTAGGAAAATAATATACTTATTATTTCGTTCAGTATTATGTACCAGGAATTATGGAAGATGGGATGTCTGGTTCCACCTTACAAGTGAATAGTTGTATTTAAAGGTATAAAATATTCATCTGTACACTGCCAACCTTATTTTCTTATGTTTGCCATTATGAAAAGGGAGCTGAGTATAATCCGTGTGCACATCACACACGTTTATAGAGCTGTGGGTAATGTGGCATCTAGCCATGGAAGCATGTTTTACTGGAGGGTAGTACCAGGGGAATGCTGATGTTGCTGTGACATTTTCCTGAAATGGTGACTGCTGATGGATGAAGTCTCGAATAAACCAGTAGAAGGCACAGGAGTGCCTGCCCAGCATGCAAGAGGCCTGGGCCCCTTCCCAGCACTGTACAAACCAGGCTGTCATCAATCCCACACTCTAGAGGTAGAGGTAGGAAGATCAGAAGGTCAAGGTCATCTTCATTTACCTAATGAGTCAGAAGCTGCAGCCAGAACTGCACATATTGGCTTTGTGGGAGCCTAGGCAGTTTGGATGCTCACCTTACTAGACCTGGATGGAGGTGGGTGGTCCTTGGACTTCCCACAGGGCAGAGAACCCTGATTGCTCTTTGGGCTGACGAGGGAGGGGGACTTGGTTGGGGGAGGGGGAGGGAAAGGGGAGGCGGCGGTGGGGAAGAGACAGAAATCTTTAATAAATAAATTAATTAAAAAAAAGATTTTGTCTTAAAGAGAAAAGGCATTTCTTGCTATATATAATGTACACTAATATTACAGTCCTGGTCAATTCAACTTGCACACAGATGGCCTCTAAGAATTCTCTTCCCTGAATTCACATGAAATCCCAGCAAGGCATATGAAAGCTTTCCGGGCTGGTGACCTAGGTGGTAAAGAACATGCTTAATGTATTCAGGGGCCCTATGTTCAGTCTTAACAGACAGCAAATAAATGATAACCAAACAAACAAGAAAATACAAGTTCCTTGGGGGATGGCAGGTCCTCCTTGTGTACAATGTCATGATGCCATTGCCATGTGTCCCTGGTTCTCACCTGAAATGTTTCCACAAATGTGTCAAAGGTTCTTGTTTACCCACTGCCTTAAAGAGGTAGAAGACCCCAGGAGGAAGCCAGGCACTCTACCAACTCCCCAGCCTCCTTTAGCCACGCTTTTTTTTTTTTAATTTTTATTCTTTAAGGAGGAGAGTCCATGTCCACAGTAGGAGGAGAGTCCATATCCACAGTAGAAGGGAGAGTCCATATCCACACTACACTTGTGGAGGTTAGGGAACAACTTGTGTGATCAGTCCTCTCCTGCCGTGTGAGGATGAAACTTGAGCCATCATCGGTCCAGACCCCAAGTGCCCCTTCCTACAGAGCGTCTCAGCTGTCCTAGCTACTTGACTCTTAAAACCATTAGGAAGGAGACTCACTCCTTCCTCTTCTGTTTCTAAACTGCCTTTACAAATTTTGTTTTCTGGGGCCGGAGAGATGGCTCAGTGGTTAGGAACACATACTGCTCTTCTTCCTGACACCCGGGTCAAGCAGCTCGTAACTGACTGCCCGTAACTGTGGCTCCAGCGGCTCTCACAACCGTTTCTGGTTTCTGTAACTGTCTGCACATGTGCACATACACACATAGATGCACACACACCTGTACATTTTAAAGTCAGTGAACCTCATGTTCTGGTGTTGCTGTGATTATCTCTGAAACCATCTGAAAATTCCTGAGTTCTCCAGTGGCACAGTTTCTCCCGCCATCACCCCTGTGTGCACTGTTCCTCGTGCCTGTGTGCTTTTCCAGCGGCAGGTTTGTCTGTTACTGGGTTTAACTGTGTAGTCCCAGGCTGGCCGCAGATTTGTGGTTCCTATGTCTACCCGCCAATTAATGAAATCACAGGCATCCCTGGCTATGGCTTTGGTCTTTCTTTTGGTGTGTGTGTGGAGTGCTTTGGTCCTTATTGTGATTTTCTGTGAATACCTGTCCATCCTAGCCCAGAGAATAGACACTAAATTTATGGAGGTAATTTTGGCTGAGAACAAGTAGTCCTTAAGAGCCCAGGATAACTACAGAGGAGCGTTAGCTGCTTTTCTCGTTTGTGAGACACATGAACTAACAAACAGCAGCGTAGGAAGAGATGCGTTGGCTCACAGTTTGAGGGTACAGTCCATCATGGCGGGGAAGGCATGGCGGCAGGAGCATGCTGCAGCTGGCCACGTGGCATCCACGGTCAGAAAGCAGAAAGATGGACGCTGTGCTCAGCTCACTTTCTCCTTTTTATTCAGTCTACCGCCTTGACCCATAGAACGGTGCTGTCCACATTTGGGGGGCTTATCCCACCTTAATCAGCAAGATCTAACCCCCTTACAGACTCCTTCTGTCTGGAGGTTGGAACCACAGAGGCTACAGGCCCTTGCTTAGTGACAGAGCACCCCTCCTGTACACAGACCCGAATTCAACCCAGCACCACCTGTAGGAGCCTCTTTTCTATGACATTGTTTTATTTCCAGTGAGCTTCAAAAGTTCCACCCATCACTATTTTTTTTATCTGCCTGTTTGTGGGTTAGAAGGTTTTGATTGCTACAGGAAAAACGGAAACACCTTATCTCCTGTCTGAGTTCAGCTCGACTCGTGAAGACAGCCTTTTGTCTAGCCCGGAGCTTTATCTGAGCAGTCCTGCGGATGTGAAACTAAGATGCAGCATGTCCTCTGTCTTTCAGCTGACGTCTCAGCACCCGTACGCAGAAGTCTTCATCGGCCGCCCACACGTCTGGACCGTGGATCTCAGCAATCGAGAAGAAGTAGAGGATGCTGTGAAAGCCATCTTAAACCAGAAGGTTGCTGCTTTGCTTTGGTTTTATTTTCTCCCTGCCTTCGTTAGACCCGTAACCTAGAACTCGTGCAGAATGTTACAGTCTCTTGCTTTCAGTAAGCAGAGCTTGCCTCCTGAATTGGACTCAGACCATAGTCTAGCCATAGCATCTGGCCTGAGGATCTCAAGGAGGCTCTGTGAGACTCGAAACAGCTGGTGGCAGATGTGGGTTTGGGTCTTATTGACCCTGCTGATGGCCCTTCTGGGTTCCTGGGTTCTAGGCATGAAGGGCGTGGCTTGACTCATACTTACTCATATGATCTAAGCATGTCCTTGGAGAGATTTGCAAAATTAGGCTGCTTTTGTTGCCTTATACAAACGGTAAAGTTTATAAAATTATTTTGTTTTGTTGTTGTTGTTGGTGGTGGTAGGTTGTATATGTGTGTTTGCACATGTTCCTATGGACATGGGGGCTTACACATGTGTCTTTTGACACTCCACTTCCTTTTTTTTCTTGAGGCATGGTGTTTCACTAAGCCTAAAGCTCATTGATTTGGCCTTGCAGGCTGGCCAGTAAGCCCCAGGGATCCGCCTGTCTCCACCCCCAGCACCAAGATTATAGGCATGCCCCCTCCCACCCGGTTTTAACATGCGTGCTGCAGATCTGAACTCAGTCCTCAGGTCTACACAGGAAGCAGCCGAGCCATCTCCCCAGCCCTGTAGTTTTCTACAGTGTTTGCTGTTTATCTTTTCTACCTGAGCATTAGGTAGAATCTTTTTGACATGACCATTCTAGATCTTTCTGATCAATCCAGTAGGAACTGATCAAGCACCTGTTATATGCAGGGCCCCCTATAAGCTGTTCTAGAAAGGTAAGAAATGTCTACCTCCACCCTAGATGAGGCTGACCACTCCGTGGGAAGTCTACCTCCTGGAGGACTTTAGTATGCCCGGGACTGCTGTGGAAGCTCTGAGGCACAGCCCGCCCTGTGCTTCTCCTCTCTAGCACCTTTCCCTTGGTTATTACCTGTTGGTCTATGTGTGCTGTGAGCAGATGGGTAAGGGCCAGCTCAAGAAGAAGCTCCTGAAGGTGGTTCTTTGTCCTGTCACCAACAACGCTGTTGGGCTCCATCTAGACAGACTGCTAGTGACTCCTCTCACATGAGGTCTCCACTTCCCTTGCGTGTGGCCTGGAGACACTGCTGTCCTTGTGCAGTGTAGCCCAGTGCCACCCCTCCTGTCTCCCCCTCAGATGTCTCAGCGGCCATCAGAATGTTTTCCTTACCCCATGACTTTCCTGGGGTTTCCTGTCCTCCTCCCCAGATGGTGTAAGCCCTGTGTAGAAACCACAAGCTTTTGTGATGCTGCACATCCCGCTGTACCTTGTCTACCAGCTCCCAGTCCTGAGCTGTGTCTTTTCGTGTCTTAGTTCACACTCTGGCTTAGGGATGCAGCTCAGTTGAAAGAACAGATGTCTAGCATGCACAAAGTGCTGGGATCCATCCCCAGTACCAAGTAACCCAGAAATGGTAGCACGTGTCTGATTCCTGTACCCAAGGGGTGGAGATGAGAGGATCAGAGTTCAAGGTCACTCGCCTACACAGTAAGGTCACCAACCTATGCTATATAAGACCTTGTCTCAAAGAAAAAAAAAAAAAAAATCTCAGCCCTCCCGGGGCCACTAGCTGAGTTCCCCTTGCTTTTGCAGCAGGAGTTCTTCAGATACATTCTCACCTCGTCTACTACAGACCAGTCATTTCTCTCTGCCTTCCCCAGAGCAGTGAGCACGTGTTCATTCTGCAGATGTTGGCTAAACTGCCCGCCCTCAGTGCAATCTGCCTAGCCCTGAGAGGCTGGAGACCCTCAGCCATTGTCTGCACTCTCCACTGTCTACTTGCTAGCACGTGATAATGTCCACCCTTTTGAAGGCCTGCTGTGTACTTTGCACTAACCAGGCAGTTTCCCACCATGTACCTCACCTCAGCTTAACAGAGACAGGTTTTCCTCCTTGCCGCTCTTTCACACATCAGGTTCCTGCCATGTAGGGAAGGTAGATTATTCAGGGTCTAAAGAAGAACACAGCAAGGCCTGAGCACTGTCTGTCCAGTTCTAGGTGTGCAGCTCTAACACCTGCCGGGGCTCCCACTCAGGGGTGGGCATCTGTGTGAGTCAGTGGAGAGTCAGTAAGTGCCTCGTGTCCCGTGCCGCCTTTCACGGTGCCCTGTTGTTTCTGCAGATTGAGCCGTATATGCCGTATGAGTTCACGTGTGAAGGGATGCTTCAGAGAATCAATGCGTTCATAGAAAAGCAGGTAAGGCCCATCAGAAGTCTGTCTGTCCTTTCTGTGTTCCACTTCCTCTTTCCCAGCTCTCACCTGGAGCCCTTCTCTGGCTATTTGCCTGCTTTGGAAAACGTCCGGCGGCTCCATGATGACTTATTGTCATTTTTAATGTTTCACTGTCATTCACGGTCTCCCCAGGAAGCCAGTCTTCCTTGGAGTATTGACAATGAAAGGTCATACGGACACTTAGAATAAGGCAATAAGGCGTTTGAGTGGTCAAGACGGGGTCCTCCCTGACCAGCCTGTCCCTGAGTTTCAGAACATCATGAGCACTCAAGAAGGGTGAAGAACAGACAAGCGGCTCTCTGTCCACCCTTGATTTCTAACTCCTCATCCCTAATCCCCCCCTTAAAATAAAAGCAAGGATTAGGGTCTGGAAAGATAGCCTAGTCAGTGAAGCGCTTGCCTTACAAGTGTGAGGATCTGAATTGATTCCCAGAAACTACATTTAAAAAGCCATGCATGAATTATAATTATAATCGCAGTGCAAGGGGAGTGGAGACAGACAAACCCCTGGGGTTCGCTGGCCAGCCAGCCTATCGGAGTTTAGATGCTTCAGACCAGTGAGAGACCGTCTTAAAAACAAGCAGAGCATGAGTAATGGCCTCTGACCTTGCCCTCTGACCTCCATGTTCACACATGTGTGCATCTATACACACATGAATACTCATATGTGCAGGGATCAAATCTACATTTTTGAAGCCTTTCCTTAAGAGTATAAATGCATCAACTCTAAACATGTTAGGACTCTTGAGTGGTTTTTGAACTGGGTCTCCTTCAAAAGAATCCTGTGAAACCCAGGCATGTGCTCTCGGAGGTGGAGGGGGCAACTGCCATTGCAATCCTTTATGATGTTTTAATTTCTTGGACTTCAGAAGCAACATGGACCCAGAAATAGACAAAAGCCAGACCCCTGTGGATAAGGGAATCTGAACTTCTTGCCCAGTCCAGACACAGGGGGTCCTCTTTATAGGGCAAAACAATGTTTAAGGGTGAACAAGGAATCTTTGTATAATGGGGATAAGAGCAGTTGAGCTGAAAATAGGAAGAGAAGGGGAGAAACATAAATGTAGGCTACCAGCCCAGAGGCCTTTCGAAGGGGAAGCTGGGCCTCTGGGACATGGTCTTTGGAGCAGAGCATCTCATCAGTTGGGCTGTGGAGGATGAGGCAGGGAACCTGAGATGGGTGAGTTGACATGCATGTGTGTGTACAGGTGCTTGTGCACATTTGCAAGTGTGCGCGCTCATATATGCAAGCATGCGTGCATGCTTATATGTGCAGGTGCACACGGCATGTGCACACATACGTGCAGAAGGCAAAGGACCACCTCGGGTGTCATTCTTTAGGTTCTGATCCGTATGTGTCCATATCCCTGCTGCTGGGATTGTCAGCACTGACTGCCAAGTCCGGCTTTTCCCTTGAACTTGGGTCCTCGTGCTTGCACAACAAACGTTTTAGCAACTGAAAGCCTCCTGGTTCCAACTCCTGGTACCATGAGTTTTTGTTTCTAGGAATTGAATATTTGTTACTTATGCTCTATGTGCCTTAGAAAAGAAGTACAAAGAAAAATGCTCCTGAGAGCATTGCATGAGCAGTACCCAGGAAGTGCTGAGAGTAAGGTTAACCTGCATTGTTTACCATGCTGTGCTCTATGTGGTGTCTCGTGATGTAATGATGCACACGGGGAGCCCAGCGCTTGTCATTGTCCCATTCATCACAGGACACAGAGAGAACCAAACTGTCATAGCGAGCGCTGGCACCGTCTGTACCAGTGCGCACTCACCCATGCGTGCGCCACCTCCCCAGCCACGGGTTCCCTTTCCAAGGGATGGTTTCCATATTAATCAGGATCCCAGAGTACGACGTGGGAAATAGCTGTTCGGTACGAGAAAATGTTTTGCAAGAGGAAGAAACTGTCCTCATCGTGTTGATTGCGGCAGACTGTTGCGATGTTCTGCTTTAGTTTTCGGTGCTGCTCTCCTGTCATGGCTAATTTAGCTTCATCACGGGTGCAGGGCAGGGAGGGGAGGATGGGTTTGGTCCTCTGCACGGTTGCAGGCTTCCACCCCTGACTTTTTCATCTTGCTAAGATACAGGGTGTGTTAGTGGTTCTTCTCGTTCCGGCGACAAAATCCCCGATGAGAGCAGTTTCTAATGGAGGAAGGTTTTATTTTGGCTCACAGCTCAAGGGTATGGTTTGTCATGGCGGGGTCCGGTAGATGTGGCGGCAGAAGTATGAAGCAGCTGGTCACATTCCATCCATGGTCAGAAGCAGATGTACTGGTCTCAGTCCAGGATGCCAGCCCATAGGATGCTGGTGCTCACATGTAGAGTGGGTTTTCCTACCTCAGTTTACCCAGTCCTCTCTCACAGACATGCCCAGAGGTTTGTCTTCTAGGTGAGTCTAGATCCTGCCAAGTTGACAATATTGACCATCATGGGGCGGGATCTATATTCTCTCTCGATCCACACAGTAAGGCTCAGGAGGTGTCGGGATTAACTGCATGGTGGGAACTGAGCACAGCCAGGATTTGTTGAAGATTTGGTGTAAAGCCCTGTGATGCAGGTGTCCCATAGCTTGGCTTCCCCAGTGCTAGGATTATACTTTTTTAAGTGGGTTCTGGTGACCACACTCAGATTCTCATGCTTGTGAGGCAGGTACTCCACTAAGTGAACCATCTCTGGGCATTTCTTATAAGACATCCTCTGAATTCCTCATAAATGAGCAATGACGGGGGCTATTTTTAGTTTATCTCAGAAACTCTTTCAGACCCCAAATGTTTCCTGGGTGCACGATAAAATCCAAGACCCCTTTGGATCAGATCAAGTCTCCTTTTAGCTGCAGGCCTTGGATCTTAGAGCTTGGAGCGTTCATTATATTTTTAGAGTTTGCAGAGTATCTTCAAAGAGCAGCAAGGACGGAGAGAGGGTGGAGGACACAGAGAGTGTGCTCCTGGCGGGGGCGGGGAGCCTGGGGCTTGGAGGAGAAGGCCCCCACACTGGAGCCTTTATTAGTCGGGGCTCAGCTTCCAGAGTCCACCATGTGGGCTACATGGAACATGGGCACCTTTATCCCAGGACCCTTTCAAGATTTCCCCCCACCACACACACAGTTCCCCACAGCTGCAGGAACCAGATGAGGCTAAACTGACAGTCTTTAAAATCACCCCAGGTTTCAGGGTACAGTTAGGAGTCACTGCTGGGAGCCTACCTCACACCCAGCCTGCTGGGGTGCAAGCCCTCTTCCCATGGGAGGAAGATCCTTGCTCTTCTCCATCCCTGGCCTGCCCCACTGCACTGAAACCATTGTTTTGGCTTTGAAATGTTGTCATTGTCTTTGAAATGAGCACTCGGAAGGGGAGTGACTCCACCTGATAGGGAGTTAGCCCGAGAGTCCCCAGTGATAGAAGATGAGTTGTGACTCTTCCCCCTCCGAGTGTGTCCAGGCTTGTGAAGGTTCCCATTCTGCATTGTTTGGGGAAGTCACCGATTTACCTCCAGGGGAAACGAAGCAGAGAGAGAAGGGAAACTCATTTTCTGCTTCCTATAAAGATCTAATATACAGAGTGTGGCCAGAACAGCGGTTCATTTGGTGAGGAGACTCTTGCTTCCAACCTTAGCAACCTGAGTTGATCCGGCTGATGGAAGGAGATGAGAGACTTCCACACATGACAATTAAATATGCACAAAATAAAACTAACTTTAAAAAATGTTTAAATGCATATACAGGGTGGTCAGTCACAATTACATTGTTAATTGGTTTGAGACAGCATCTCATGCATCCCAGGCTGGCCTTGAACTTGTTATGTGGACAAGAATGACCTTGAATTCCTGGTTCTCCTGTGTTTTCACAAATGCTGGGGTTGCAGGTGTGTTACACCATGCCCCATTTATGCATTGCTAGGATGGAATCCAGGGCTTTGTGTACATGTGGCAGGCTCTGTACCAGCTCAGCCCACCCCACCAAGATGTGCTTGGTAAGAACTGTCTGGTCACATGCAAAGCATTATGAGGATGCAGGCAGGTACAGCCAACCCCACTGCACAGCCAGCCCCACTCCCACCGCAGCAGCAGAATCAGCTCAAGCTCCCAGATTCTCTTGAATTCCCTGGGGAGTGTTCCAGAAACAAAGATAAGACCTTGGGTGACTCTGGAGAGGACTGGGGTTGGGCCAGCAGGGTGGTGACAGGAAAAGGCTTACAGAGAAGTGAAGGGGAGGACATTGGCTAACAGTGAAAGTTGCTGGTGACCCTGCTCCCTGCTGTGTCGGCACTAGTAAGCAGGGCCAGCCTGAGTTCATAGCCTGGTTCAGACCGCCTACTATGTCTTCTCTGAAACAGTGCCGATGCCGCAAGAACCTGGATGTAGGAGCTGATGCAGAGGTCGTGGAGGGGTTCTCCATGCTGGCTTGTTCCCCATTGCTTTTTCAGCCTGCTTTCTTACAGAACCCAGGACCACCACCCCAGGGGTGGCACCACCCACCATGACGTGGTCCTCCCCCCATTGATCACTAATTAAGACAGATCTTAGGGAGACATTTTCTCAATTGCAGTTCCTTCCTATCAGATGACTCTAGCTTGTATTAAGTCGACATAAAACCAGCCAGTACACTACCTGAGTTCAGTTCTCACAACTCACGTGATAAAAGGAGAGAACCTGTGACCCCTGTGCACTGTGACAAGTCTACACACACAAAATAAAAAAGCCCGCCCCCTACAATTCAGTTACTTTTTTACAAGACGGGCAGCAGGGACCGACCTAATTCTTTAACAAAACCTGTTGTCATCGTAACACATCAATACCTACAGAGTTCACACTCAAGGTCTGCATAATCGATTTACAAAACAAAACCCCAATAGGAAAAAGTCGGAAGCCTCTAGGAGTGCTAACTTAGGTCTTTCACTGCTGAAGGGAGCAGGTTACCACGTGTCTGTCCACTCCCGATTGGTAGATTTATTGTCCCCACTTCTGAGTGCAGCAGGGAGTGCTGGGAGGGACTTCACTGCCATCTTGGCCTGGACCTGGGTTTCCACTTCTCCTGCATATACTCTGGTGGTCAAGTGTTCGATGTAGCGGATTCCTGTGCAGCCCGGGTGTCAGCTCTACTGATCGGCATCTGTGAGCACTGTGCCAGCATCTCATTGTTGTGACCAAAGGCCCGACAAGAAACACGGCCGTCAGGGATCAGTCTATAGTTGCAAGAGTGTAGTATGACTGGCCGCACGGCATCCACAGTCGGGGAGCAGAAAGGAGTGAACAGGAGGCAAGGCCAGATTATAAAACCTCAAAGTCTACCTCAGGTGACCCACTTCCTCTAGGAAAGCTGCACCCCCTAAAAGTCCCAAACAGCTCCATCAACCAAGACTTGGAAATGTTCTCTACAGGCTTTGGCCAAAGCACTCAAGAGACTGAGGCAGGTGGATTACTCCATTACTTCAAGTTCAAGACCAGCCTAGGCTATGGAGGGAGGAGACCTTGTCTCAAAAAAAGAAAGGAAGGGAGTTAGGGAGGGAGGGAGGGAGGAGAGGCAAGTGGGGTCGGGGGAAATTAGTCCAAGTCTGGATAGAATGGAAAAGACCCTGTCACACACCACACTTGGCATTTGTCACTGGCCTTTTTGTTCAGAAGCCTCTGCTTAACACCAAGCCCCCGGCCCTCCCACCTGATTCATCCATAGCAGAAGAGGGATCAAGCCAACCCCACCTAGTGCTTCCCTCATAAGGACAGGCCCCGACTTCCTGATGGGCACTGGGTGAAGCACTCTTCCTCCAGGCTCCTGCTGAGCCTCCTGTACAGGGCCAGCACCAGTATCTCCTTCACAGTGCTTGGACTCAGTCATGTTGGGGGAGATGGGGAGATGTCTCCGTCAGTCTGGTGCTGGCCACATAGGCGTGAGGGCCTGAATTCCATCCCCAGCATAGAGGGAAAAGCAGGGTTGGTGATGTGCACCTGTAATTCCAGATCTGGGGAGATGGAGATGGAAGGACCCCTGGGGTTTGCTGGACACACAGTCCAGCCTTCTTGAAGGGTCCCACTGAAGCAGAAGACCAAGTCTCAGCTGAAGAACAGCACCAGACGTTGGCCTCAGCCCTTCACATACTTGTACACATGTGTAGAAGTGGGGCGTGCAAAGACAGAAAGAGAGAGAAGGCATTGCTTTGACTCACAGCTCGGTTGGTGAATTCTTGATCTCTAGTCTCTGCATGACGATTTCAGAATAGCCAAACACGCTGAGAGACAGGTGCGTCAATGGCGGGAGGAAGATGGCAGGAAGAGAGAGGAGCTGCAGATGGCGCGTGCCCCCAGTGAGCTTGTTAACCAGATTGGCGGCGGCTGTTTCGTCCTCCTCCTGGCTGCAGAGATGCCTCATTGGGTTGGAATAGCCTCTTTTTCTACTTTACTCCTGTCCAAGCCTCCAGGAAGCCGAAATCAGGCAGTCCCATTCAGTAGCTCTTTACTGCGCACCAATTAGCTGCAGAATGCCATGTTGGCCGTAAGCTGCTAGCTCCCGTATAGCCTACAGAACCCAGCCTAGAAGGCCACATCTCCTGGAAGCCACCTCTGATTGCTGCCACCGCCACTCTTCCCCTCCCCATAGAGCCATCCCTGCCCAGCCTCCAGGTGGCCTTCACCATGTCCATAGGCATCTGGTTCGATGTTCTCAAGGCTTTGCAAGTGCCAACCTTTTACTACTAGACTGCACTGCCCCTCTAGGGCCAGGCGCACGCCTTCCTGTTCCTGTCTCTTAGCAAGGATCTGTAGAATGGAGGAATGTGTCAACGAAGGAGCAGTTGGTGACAGCAAGAGGCAGCTTCCCCATCACCCACTGGCCATTGCACCGTGGCTGAGAGGAGGCTGGGGCCCCACACTTGCATTCCTGCTGTGCCCTGCAAGCAACTGAACCAAGAGGTGCTGTCATAGATAAACTGTGGGTGTGACCCAGTGACTCCACCCCGCTGCAGTGCCCAGCACTTGTTATTCTCAGCCTCCGTCTTACCTTGCCTCCCTTTCATCCTCAGAACTACACAGGAAAGAAGGGCAAGGGTCACTGTTCCCATTTCTTATATGGGTCAGGTGGAGGGGGCTTGCAAGACATCTGTGAAGTCCCCCGCTGGGGGCCAGCCCTCCTCTGCCATGCTTTCTCTGACAACATGGCCTCCCTCTGATCAATTGTTACCTTCAAACTGTCTAGATAGTTCCTAAGTTTAAGGCTTTGATGCTATTTTTTTTTCTATTCTTGGATCTTGTGGTCCCTAGAACAGACTCCTAAAACTACGCCAAGCCATCATAATGGGCAGGAGCAAGTACCTGGGGGCCTTTTTGTTTAGTGCAGACTTGAGCGAGGCATGTGTGTGGGAGGGCCCTGGGGAAGACAGCCGCTGTCACCTCAGCTCCACCACGCAGCCTCAAGGGTAGCTCCCACTGTATGAGCCTTGCAACGACTCCTGCCCTGCTCCAGAACAGATGCAGGGTGACGGTTCATCCGTGAAGCCCAACTTCCCCGTATGCCTGCCTGGCCTTGTCCATAGGCTGCCCTAGGAGAAGCCACTCTCCCAGGGAACTTAAAGGGCATCAGTGCGTGCCTGCCCTTTGCCATCTCCCCTGAGCCACGTTCTTCTTCTACTAGATCCTCCACAGTACAGATGAGCCCGGAGCTGGACCGGGGCCTGTGCCCAGAGCCAGTGTCCTGGGCTCAGGCTTCAGATCTGGCCCATCTGGTCTGCTAGCTTCAGATTTAGCTTTGTAGGAGGGTAAGAATGAATGAGAAAGGAAACTCTGACGTTCTGAAACACCAGCCCAGGGACCGTCCGAGGAGAAGAGACCAAAGTCGTAAAAGCCAGAACCTGAACATTTAGCCTTGGTAGGCTTCGCATCTCCCCAGGCTGCTGTAAGTTAGGTTTGCTACTGAGCCCTCCGTAGCCATTGTACACACCTAAGATGATGAACTCAGAACTGGGACGCTTTCTGTCAGTGCAGTTTAGGGTTCTATCCGTGACTGGGCCTCATTGCCGTGGGTTTGTCGTGAAGCAGTACATCATAGCCAAGCATGTCCCAAAGCAAAACTGCTCAGCTAGGGACTCAGTGAAGACGTGGTGGCTAAGAATACCTGCTGCTTTTGCAGAAGATCCGAGTTCAGTTCCCCAAACCCACAAGAGGCTGCTTATAACTGCCTGTATCTAACTACAGCTCCAGTGAATCCACTACCTTCTTGTGGACCCCACATGCACACACACATGCACGCGCTGGCACACAACACACACAAACACACACACATATGCATACGTGCACTAAAAATAAGATCAATCTAAACAAACAAATAACAACAGCAAAAACATGCCTAGCTCATGACTGGGAAGAAGGGGAAGGGACTCCAACATCCCTTCAGAGGCAAGCTCACAATGTCCTGAAGGCTCTAAGCCTCCCAAAGACTCCAACATCTCCCAGGAGTGCCTCACTGGAGACAAAGCTTTCAGTTCATGGCCCTTTAAGGATATTAAAAGTCAAACTCTAGTCACCAAATTTAAGAGGCCGAGAAATTCTCACTTGCCTCTGGTTCGGGTACATTCTGGTCTAGGGGTCCTTGTGGATTGCCTGTTGTTATCTACTTGTGAACTTGTCTGGACTGACAATCACATGGAAACAGACCTCTGGGTGTTTCCAGAAAGAGCTTGCTGAAGAGGGAAGAGCCATTCTGAATATAGGTGGCCCTGTCCCATAACCTGGGTAAAAGGGAGGAGGCAAGCCGAGCACCAGCGCTCTTCTCGCTCTGCTTCCTGACCGTGATGACTGTCCCATCAGGTGAGCCAGAACAAGCTCTTTCTCCCTGAAGTCACTTTTGGCAGGCATTTTGTCACAGCAAGGAGACAAGTATGATAGCTGGTACTCCTCCCCTGCTGTCTAGTCACCTAGGAAACTCCGTGTATGCTGGATCAAAACTCTCTCCATTACAGTCTTTAAGGGCTGTGAGAGGTACCCATTCACTCCTGAGCACCTAAGTAAAGATGCTTACGTTAGCCAGCAAGAACACACTGTAAGCTTTTCCAGATCCTGGTGCGTCTCTCGACTGTTGGTTCTGTCTGACAGCTATTCTGATGGATGGGCAGCTGTCATATGCAAGCTTTCTACACACTATAATGGCAAAGAACAGTGGCCATTAGTATAGACTGCACTTCCATTTAACGTACTGTGAGTCTGCACAGTCATGCTGTTCCCTTAGTAACAGCATCCAGACCCACAGGACTGTGCTACCCATGGCTTAGTGTAGGCACGAACTGTGTGTAGTATTTGGAAAATCCAAAAGGAGGAGTCAGAGCTAGTGGGAATGGTCCCAAAGATGGTCCTCATAGAGAATGAGGAAGTGTGCCTCTAGCCCAGGCTGTTCTCAAACTCATTTTGTAGCTAAAAATCCTCTCACCTCTGCCTCCCAAGAGCAGGATTACAGCTATGTATGTATCCTGGTTTATCTAGTGCAGGGGATAGAACCAGAGCTTCATGAAGCTGGAAAGCCATTCTTCCTACTGAGCCACATCCTTGGCCTGGAAACCTGTCCCAAGGTTGTGTCCTTTTTATCATTTCTGAGCGTGGTGCCTCCTGTGGTTGGTTGGGAGACTGAAGCTGTCCCATTGTGTCCTTGGTCCCCTAGCTGATGATGGTGTCCCTGTCATTTCTAGGACTTCTGCCATGGCCAGGTGATGTGGCCGCCCCTGAGCGCCTTGCAGGTGAAGCTGGCTGAGCCCGGGCAGTCCTGCAAGCAAGTGTGCCAGGAGAACCAGCTCATCTGTGAGCCGTCCTTCTTCCAGCACCTCAACAAGGAAAAGGACTTGCTGAAGTAAGTTCCTCAGCGGTGGGAGGACCCAGGGCCTGCCGTCTCTGTGCTTCTGCCTTAGAGTCCGGTCGAGAGGTGCCTGGATTTGCTCTCCCAACTGTGGGCTTCAGGGAGACAAAAGGGGGAGCAGCCTGCAGCCCAGAAAGAGCTCAACTCTCACACTCACACGTACACATATGATATGTGTATGACCTGGATTTGTGTGATATGTGTGTGCATGATGTCTGTTTCTATGATGTATGTGGACATGCATGCATTTATGTATGTCATTGTGGGTCTGCATGGACAATGACTTGCATGTGGAGGTCAGAGTACAACCGCAGCTGTTCCCCACCTTCCACCTTGTTTGAAACAGGCTCTTGGTTTTCTCCAGTGCTGGCCTGTGAGCTCCCAGGCAATGTCCTGTGTCTGCCTCCCATCTGGAAGTAGAAGGGCTGAGGTTACAGGCCACACCGCCACACCCAGCTTCTCGTGGGTCTGGGATTGGCTGTCTGCCACTTCTGTTCTCTTACCTGCAGGACAAGAATATTCTTGGGTGCACTGAATTACTTCTTGGCTCTGGCACAACTAGCAAAGCATCTGAGCCAGACTTGAAACTTTAAGTGACTCTGGTCAGTCTTTTTTTGTCATCACAACACCACAAGTGACAAACGTAGGCTCCCAGGTTCTTCAAAGGGTACCCCAATTGGCCAACCCAGAGTAAGGGTCCTAACTGTGTAGAGCTCAGTTAGGAGTGAAAGTAGACATTCTTTCCTCCTCTGCCTCCTCTTTATTCTCACTTTCCTCTTTCTCCTCTCCCCCTTTCTTCTACTTATTTTAAGACAGGGTCACATGTAGCCCAGGCTGGCCTTGAGCTCTCTGTGCAACTGGTGATGACCATGAACTGCTGGCCCTACTGCTTGCACTTCCCAAATGCTAGGATAATAGACCACCGTGAACCACCTTGCGATCTCTTCCTTGGGGTTTGCTTTGCTTTGAGACAGTGTCTCACTCTGTAGCAGATGCTGGCCTAGAAGTCACTATGTAGCCCAGTTTGACCCTGTACTCAACTGGGATTGCCAGTATAAGCCACCATTCCCAGCTAAATATTAAGTGTACATCTAAAACTAGTTCAATAGTACGTTGCTTTGTCCTGGTCTTCTCAGAAGTGGCCATTGCTTGCACATCGGTGTATAGATCTAGGGGGTGTGTATGTGTGTTTGTGTGTGTGTACATATGTTTGTGTAGGTACACTAATATCCATATGCGTATGAAGACCTCAGCTACCATTCCTCAGGCGCCATCCGCCTTGCTTCTGGGGACAGGGTCTCCCGTTTTCCTGGGGCTCACCAAGTGGGCTAGGCTGGCTAATTAATTATCAAAGTCCCAGTGGCCTCCAGCCCTGGGATTACCAGTGCATGCCGCCCGACTGGCTTTTTCTGTTTATCTTGGGTCCTAGGCATGGAACTCCGGTCCTCATGCTTGCACAGCCCTCACTTTGGTGGCTTGAACCATCTTCTCCAGCCCCGTTTGGCTTTCACCCACCACGTTCACCCCACCTCTCACCCTGCTCTTCCTGCCTCCTCCCAGACGTTGGATGGGATGGGACACACATTTCTTCTCCATTGTTTTTCCAGCAGCTGCACAGAGTCCCAAAGCACAGCATGCTCATCCCCTGTTCAAGTGTGCAGGCTGCTCTCAGCTTTTCTCCATGACAGAAAACGCCCAGCCTCAGAGCTGGTCCCCTGCACGCGTGCTTTTCTTTGCATGGCTGAGCTCCCTAGATGTGGAGAACTTCAGAGTCAGGCGGAGGATACCGTCTCTGAAGCAGGGCAATGGGATATGCCCCAACATCACAAAGCGGACAATCCAGCAATGTGGGGTGGACAGGTCCTGCCCCAGCCCCTCTGTCTCATGTACCTTTCTCTTCCCCTTAGGTATAGGGTGACCTGCCAAAGCTCAGAACTGTATAAGGACATCCTGGTGCCATCCTTCCATCCCAAGAGCAAGCACTGTGTGTTCCAAGGGGATCTCCTGCTCTTCAGTTGTGCCGGGGCCCACCCCACACACCAGAGGATCTGCCCCTGCCGGGACTTCATCAAGGGCCAAGTGGCCCTCTGCAAAGACTGCTTATAGCATAGCCACCCCGGTTCATTCAGATGGCAGAGGTGGCTCTGCTGGGCAGGGCCAGGGGGGCCAAAGTCATTCAGGGACTCTGACCGGAGCCCAAACTCTTTGGTCCAGGGCTTGGATTTGGTACTTCTCCAGCTTGCAGTCAGTGCATCCCAGGAGTTTACACCAAAACCGCAAGAGAACAGAGGTCGGACCAGGGTCCTGGCTTCTCCCTGGTGCAACGAATGTCCTCTCTGTCCCGGAAAGTGTCCAGGCAGCTGCTCCGGGGTTATTATTATTATTTTTTTTTTTAAAAAGGAAGGCTAAAAGTCTGGAGACGCATCCAACTGAAAACAGAACAGGAAGAGGAATTGAGCCTATTGGAAAGAAATTTGGGGACATTCCTAAACCCATTAATTTATTTATTTGGGAGGGTGGGGGTTGGGTTGGGAGGGAGGGAGGAAAGGGGTTGACCAGTTTCCTTTTTGTCCCCACACTGTTAATCACCCATCTTCAGGATCTTCTTGTTCTGCTGGCCTCACGCAGGATGCAGAGGGGCTGGTGGCGTGCTGGGTGGCAGCCGTGGGAGCCTGGCTCCTGACAGCAGGTGGCAGCACAGAAAAGAAAATTATCATTGTGAGTAGGGATGTGACTCGGTTTGCGGAGTGCTTGCTTAGCATGCATGGAGCCCTGGGATCCATCCCCTGCACTACATAAAACCAGGTGAACACCTGTAATCACAGGTAAAGAGTGGAGGCTGGAGGATCAAACATTCAAGGTTAGCCTTGTCTACTTAACAAAGTCAAGGCCAGCCTAGGCTACGAGAGATCCTGTCTCAGAAAACAGTTGTTTTTTTGTTGTTGTTGTTTTGTTTTGTTTGTTTTTGTTTTTGTTTTTGCTTTGCAAACACAGCCAGCCCCTGTCAGAGCAGTGTCCTAGAGCTGATGATCCTGTGTGTTGCTTGGCAGGTGGCAGCTAAAAGGCAGATAGCCTTGGTGGGGACTTGTGCCTGTGTGTCCTGAGGGCTCTGCCAAGTGCCAAAGACAGGCTGGGCTGTGAACAAGAGAGGCTGCTTTCCTGTGTGTCCCCTTCCCACCCACCTTCACAGCTTGGCCCTAATTTCTGGTTAGAATTCCTCTGTTGCAGAAACACGGGATTGTGTAATTCTTCTTTGTGGTAAACTGGCCCTGCCTCGCTCTAAGGAGGAAGGTGGAAACTGAAGACCCCAAGAGCTGCCCTTGAACTTTGTGTGTGTGTGTGTGCGTGTGCGTGTGCGTGTGTGTGTGTGTGTTTGTGTGTGTGGCGTGGGAGGTCTCCAGCCTCAGAACAGCTAAAGTTTGGGTTAGAATGAGGTAGCGGCATGAGGAGTTCGTACTGTGTCCCCATCAATGTCCCCTATTGCTGAATTCCAGGGAAGATGGCTTCCCAGGACCTTGATGGTTTCTGGGGATGTGAGGACAGTTTGGAATGAACACTAGGTATTTTCCTGGCTGCTCCCCAGTGGACATGGCTTACAGAGGGCCCGAGACTGGAGGTGGGTTTTACTTGAAGCACTATTCCAAGGAGTTTGGGCAGCGGGCTGGCCTAGTCATACATGCTGGGATCCCCGCCCTTCACACCCGGAGCCCTTTTGTGCGTGTCCGTCCCTGCTGAAGCGTTGCTTCTGTGCTCTGTACATTTGTGAATGTACCTCCCACACTTCTCATGCTGGCAAATGAACCAACCCTCTTCTACCTCTCGCTCTTAGCCTTGTCCTGTTGGAGTAGACTTCCTGGCCTGCTCGTGCTACCTAGTGCCTCCTAGTGGTCAGGTGGAGCCTCTGCCTAACTGAGAAGCCTACCTAGCAAGGCTCAAAACTAGCTGAGCTGTCCAGAAGCAGCAGGAAGGAGGATTCAGCTTTGTGGTGACTTGACCAAGGTGGGGAGCGGTGGGGCATGGGACTTTGAGGTCTGGGAAATCTGATCTGCCTGGCTCTTAATGTCTACCTGGGTGCAAATGTCACACCAACTACATCTCCAGCCTTTTTGTTTTTTCCTTAGGCCCAGCCTCCCCCCCCCCCTTAGGCCCTGAGATAGGCAACTAAGGGGCTGAGCTTCAGTCCTAGAGAAAGAAGTGGAGTGGGGAGGGGGAATGCCAGGGGATCCTATCCTAAGACTGATGGGTTCTCCAAGACCTGGCTAGAATCATCTCTGCCCAGGTTGAGCCACCAGACAGGCGAAAGTTTAAAAGCCTAGCTATGAAACCTGTCTATTAAGCCTTGCAAAAGTGGTTTCCCGCTGCAGGATGGAAGAAACCCGGCCGTCTCCTTGTGAGGAAGGGCTTTCCCTGAGAGCCATCCTCTTGGCTGCACACCAGATCTGTGGGAATCTGCTAGTTTGCAGACCAGCGATTCCTAGGCCTCTCCACTTGAGTCCACCACGCTATGGGTGACAGTGCTGACATTCAGCCAGCAGGGGGTGGCCCACGCTGAAATGCTCCCCATGCTGTAGATGGCTGTAAAGGATCTTGGAGAGGGTAGGTAGCCTTGCCCCCACCTGCAGAAGCTGCCTGGGCCTGAGCTCAGGCTCTCTCCACCTTCCTATTGCTCTCCAGCTCAGAACCCAAGTCACATTCTTTCTCCCATGGAATAAATTCTTCTTCCGGTTTTAGCCAGAAGCAAGCCTCACTTTCCCTGGTGGGCTCCAGCTCTTGAGGCTAACCAGCTGCACTCTAGTTGTGAAGGGCATTATCAACAGGTGGGGTGTCCCCTTAATATATACCAGCTCCCAGGGCCCAGAGTTAGCAAGGTGTGGCCAAGTGATCCTCCAGGAGAACCTGACAGTGTGTGTGTGTGGGGGGGGGGGTATTCTGCCTGTCGGGTGTGGACATCAGCAAAGAAGGAACTCACAGCCTTGGCCGGGAGCCCATCGCACTGACAAAGCATTGATGATCCTGGAGAAACCTCGGCCTGTGTGTGATCGAACCTTCCGCAGGGGAGAAACCTGAAATCAGGACTTGTGTTTTCTGGCACTGCCGTCAGATCTTGACCGGTCTTTGGAGTTCTTTCCCCTGTGTAATGTTAGGCTCTTCATCTAGGGGAAAACCTTTCTGTAACTCACTAAGAGAGAGAATGCTTCTCTTCAGAGGGTGATGGCCTTGGCAGAGCGAGAACTCCTGAGAGGGCCAGTGCTTGGACCCTAGTCCGCAGCTCGGGCATTTCTGTATGCGCTCTGATTTCCTCTCCAAAAGGAAATGTTGTGAAGTTTTTGCTTTGTCTGTTTTAGACTTTTGTTTCTGAGATGAATCACTTGTTTTAGGTGCCTGGTGAGTGTTTGTAAATATTTGCCTTTTTTGTTGTTTTTTGTTGTTGTGGTGGTGGTGGTGGTGTGTGTGTGTGTGTGTTTGGTGGTTCATGTCTTCCTGACATGTCTTCATTTCTCTTTGGGGTTGGAATTTGAAGGCTGACAGCAAATTGTTCCAGCCTGGGATAACTACATATATCCACAGTATGTGTGCACACATGTGGCTAGTTATGTTCCCAGTGTATGTATGCGCACAAGACAGAAACATTTAGTGTGTATGTGTGTGCTTGTATATGTTCCCAGTGTGGGGTGTCTGTATACACACACACACACACACACACACACACACACACCCCCAGAATAGGGCTGAGGGAGCCAGGAATCCCTTAGCTGGCATCCTCAGGACCTCATAGTGACCACGGTAGTGAAGGGCCTCATTTCTGTCACCCCGGCCCTGGCTGACATGTTGCTGAGGCAGGAGATTAGCTTTGAGGTGGTCTATGTGGAAGGAGTAACCCCCAAACACTTCAACTAGTTAGCATGATGGAGGTGACCCGTGTCCACCCCCCCTTTCTTCTCCCCCTTGGTGAATGGCCGAGGGTGTTGCTGCAGGACTGCTCATGGTAATGACCGATCAGCGAGTTGGGTTGCACTGAAACTGTATGTTGTCTATAAGTGAGTGTGTGTTATGCTTCAGACCAGGGTGGGTCACCTAGGTTGTGTGTGATTAGACACCGCCACCCTCTCCCAAACTTCTTGACTGAAAAAGAAAAGCCAAGGATTTTGCTAACGACAGGCTCGGCTACGTGTGTTATTATTCCAAGCCTGGACTCTTTTATTTATTTAAAACTATTTTCCTTTCTTTCCCCGTTGGCTTTCTTCTTAGCCCATCTGTCCCTGTGTGGCTTCAGGGTATGTCTTCGTTAGAGTAGACGGGTGGCAGAAATAGATTTCGAGTCGTTTGGGAAGCCAGCGGCTTGGAGCTGAGGAGTTCGTTTCGTTCTCGTTGCCTTCGACAGAAAGTGCAAAGTCAAGTTTTTTTGGTTTGGATTTTGTTTTTTTTTACATATAGCAAAAGACCAAATTAGCTGTATAGTCTTGGATACAGAAAATAAGAATTAATCTAGCTCTCCTAGCATTTAGGGTTCTGTGGGGATCCCATAGCACAGTGCCTGGCTCATAGGAAGCCTGGCTAATGTTCAATATTGATATTAGTAGTTTATCATAAAACTTGAGAAATAAAGACCTGCGCTCACCCCCTATCTGTTGATTCAAACATGATGGCTACACAAAAATCTTGTTGAGTCAATCAGTGGTATAGGAATTTGTTGTTCCAAATGTTTCAGCTCTGTGCCTACTCTGCTCACTGGAATTATACCGTTTTTCTTGAATGTGCTGATTGGGAAATATGTCAGTCTTCAGCACTCCGTGAAACAAGACTGAAAGAATTTATTAAAGGAAGTTGAATCCACCAATATGTTCTGGAACATTCCAGGGGTTTCTTTGGGGAACTTTTTGAGCTCAAAATTAAAAGTTCTCTCGCAAGTTGCACTCCTTGAATTAGAGTTTAATTTTTATTCCTCTATAATGCGATAATAGAACCAATTTGTTTAAGGGAAAGAATGAACTGAATTTACAGTTCCCGGGAAACCCTTTGCTGCCCCCTGCTGGACAGGGTGGCTTCCAGCAGGTTGGTTATCTCTGCCTCATTCCCACCCTAAGAGTAATCCCATGACCTGGTCCCCACCCCCCACCCCCAAAAAAATCCACCACTACCCCCAAATGAGCCACATGAGGGATTTTTGACTTCTTTCACAACTGGACGCGGAGGTGACTTGAATACCACGTTGCTGTTTATGTTTTGCGGATTTAGCCTCTTCCCTGGCCCAACACACATCTGGGTGGATTGCAGGTACAAAAGGGGGAGGAGAATTCCCTGGAATCCAGGGTGTTTTTCCAGTTCTTCTCGGGCAGTCAATGATTTTACGTTTAAGGGATGAAATGATTGAATTTTTCTTTTTCAGAGCTTCATTCTGCCCCAGGTTTTGAGGCTCACAAGGCTGCCTTCACCCCACCCCCACCCCTGCAGCAGGGACACACATGCAGATGTGGGTTGCAGCTGGGACACACGCAGGTGTGGTGGGTGCACAGCAAACACAGCAGCCCATGGAAGCTGGAACACAGCAGACATGGGGCACATCATTCTCCCCACCTTGAACCCTGTCCAAGTATTAAAGAAAATAACGCAACCACAATGCCGTAGGACACGGTGACGTCCCTTCCACTGTAGTTGCTGTCATGGCCATTTGTGTCTGTGTCTCCAGATGGATCCCGGTACACTATTTCCTACTGTCACTCCTGGGGCTCAGCCACAGGATGCTGTCAGTGAGGTGTCACTGCCCCCTGCTTGCTGTGCCAGGCAAACCGAATACTGCTTTGTTTTCCTGTGCTGTAGAAAAACTAGGGAGAGCTTTATTTTTCAATAAACTTTTCTTGTGTGACAGGTGGTAGTGATTGGGGCGGGGCGCTAAAGCTGTGTCTCCTGGTGCCAACACACTGTCAAAGGTCAAGCAGCGGATAGATGGGGACCGAGAAGTTCGGTAGCTGAGTGTATGATAGCTGGGTTCAGAAAACACTTGCTATGCACGTGTGAGAGCCTGGCTCCAAGCCTCAAAATCCACTTTTTAAAAAGGCAGGCATGATGGCACATGCTTGAAACCCCAGTTCTGGAAGACACAACATGGTTAGCATGCATAGAAAACCTATGATCTGGGGCCAGGGAAATAAATGGCTGCGTGGGGAAGCCCTTGGGAGGGATGCACAAGAACCGGAGTTTGATCCCTAGAAGCCACGAAAAAAGCCAAGTGTGCTACACACTTGTAATCCCAGTTCTGGAGGTGCAAAAACAGGTGTATCCTTGGGGCTTGCTACTCAGTCAGCCTAGCAAACCAGCAAGTTCCAGGCCAGTTAAAGACGCTGTCTCATAGAACAAGATGGACAGCATCCTGTGGTACCGTGCATGAAATTGACGTCTGGCGTGCACGCGCACGCACGCACGCACAAATAGGGGAAGGGCTTCCCCACTACATACTCTAACCTTACTTCCACCGCAATACTGAATGGGAAGCATTCTTTCCGTCTTCCACTCTCACTGAAGGAGCTGAACTGGAAAATGAACTGCTAGACTTTTTTTTTTTTTCCTTCAGAAATAGTTCTGACTGCGGGGTGCATTTAAAACTTTGTCCGAGTGGGGTGGTAAAAGGCAGAGCGCCTCCATTCACCTGAAAGAGAGGAAGCAGCCTGGAGCCGGGCATCCGTGGGCCAGGAGCGTTGCCGGGGTTCTCAGTCAGCGGACAGCTGGCTAAGACACACACAAAGCCCCAGGTTTGAATTCCAACAGCATACAAACTGACTTAGCGGTGCACACCCGCAATTCTAGCACTCAGGACGTGGTGCACACCCGCAATCCCAGCACTCAGGAAGCAGAGGCAGGAGGATTGGGATTCTCAAGGCACTCTCTGAAACTAGGGGCCCTCCTGGGTAATTCTCACAATAAAAAGACACCGTGGAATTCACCATCATGTGAGGCTCAACTCCCTGAACTCCATGTCTGTTGACTACCAGGAAGGGTGTGGACACATTTCTGGAATCTGCATTCCCCAGGCACGCTTGCACACTCTAGGGGAACGAGCAAAGAGGGAGACCCCTTGGTGTCCACTGGGGAATTCATTCAGATGGGGCCACAATTGCATGTCACCTATTCAAAGTTCTTAGGTCAGAAATGTTTCCGAGAGCTTGGGGAATGGCTCAGCAGCTAGAAACACTTGCTTTGCAAACATGAGGATCTGTGTTCAAATCTCCAACATCCAAGCAGGGCATAACCGCATCTGCCTGTGAGCCTAGAACTGGGGGAGGCTGAGCCAGGAGAACCTCTGGGGCTTTCTAGACACCAGCCTAGCTCCAGATTCAGGGAGAGATCTGGTTCCTGGGGAATAAGAGTGATAGAGGAAGGCACACACACACACACACACACACACACACACGTACACACACACACTCCACAGAGAGAGAGAGCATGAGAGAGAGCCTGCTCACAATGTTTACTACCTACATGTTGGCACAAACACTAATAGCTCACTCACACAACCTCCCCATACCATACAAATTGTAAAGGTTTTTATTGGCCTGACATGGCTGCTCCACTGGGCAGGGCTGTGGCAGCTACAGAACACAGTGGCATGGGGGACATGTCTGCAGCACTTACACCTCACGTTCCGTAAGCTGGGGATATCTCGTCCCTTCTGGACGAGGGACCTACTTCTCGCAGACCGTGAGGCAGCGGGACCACTTAGCACAACATACAGAGATATGCGAATGCAGGTAATGATTATAATTATTTATTACAAATAAATGTATAGAGTTTCACATCTCTCAAAAATGGTTCCTGGGTTTTCATGAATGGGCAGGATCTGGATGTTGAATAAAGGGCTGTGTGCTTACGTAGCCTGTCCATGCAAAGCTCATTCATCTGCCACTAAATACTTTAAAAAATAGAATGGCCTCCCTCTGAACAAATCTGCTTAGTGTCAAGATTAGTAAAAGTGTATGAAATGGGTTGATTCACGTTAGGAGGGGATTTGCTGCAAGGAGAAAGGAGTGTGACCCTGGAGGCGCCTTGGCCGTGTGTGGGAGGTGACTCGGTCAGCTACTATCTGGTTGGCGGTGACTCGGTCAGTTACTATCTGGTTTTGGCTGACAGTAAATGCCACAGGTGGCTTCTTATCAAGCAGAGACCCAAGCCTGCTTTCAAGAACTGTTTGACCCCAGGAAATAGAACACGTCACTTCCGGCTCAAGATTGGGAAGCGCGGCAGCCCTTCCCGTGGTCAGCAGCGTCCTAACGTGTTTGACAGTGGGCAACAGGGTGAGGATGTAGGGCAGGCACAGCCTCCAGGCCGACCTCATCCCGTGATGACAGACTCTATGAACGAAAACTTCCCCAAATGAAACTGGATGTGCAGTTAAATATTGGCACCAACTGCCTTCGTGGAAACCTCTCGTCGCCATGGTGACGCTCTTCCCCGGGGCCGTCCCTGCCGCCCCTCCAGCCGTCTTCACTCAAACATTTCGTAGTGACGCGTCTGTCTCACTCTGGGCACCATGTCGATGAGGAGCCTGCAGAAACGAAGACAGGCAGGGTCACCTCGATACCAGGAGAGCTTGGGGAAACGGAGGTTGTGTATGTGTGCGTCTGTGTCCTTTCCTGTGTGTTCAGGTGCGTGGGTGGTGTGTGCTTATGCATGGCGTGGGAGGGGGGGGGCTGTGAAAGTCAGATAACCTTGTCCTTTTGTCCACTTTGATTTTCCCCGGCAGGGTCTCTCATCTTTACCTGGAGCTCACCAAACAGGCTAGGCGGGGTGGCTGGGCGATGTTCTTCCTGTCTGGAATTACAGGCTTGCTCCACCTCAGCTGGCTCTCCTTTTTAATGTGGGTCACAGGGATCAAATTCACATAGCTGTGCTTCCCCACCTGAGCTGCCTCCGCCCCCGAGTCTAGCTGTTATTAATTCTGCTGCATGCCACGCCACTGTCCCTTTCAAAGCAGACAGCTCAGTGGTTTCCTGCACCCATGTGAGGCTGTGTGTTCATCTACACTGTCTTAATTCCAGAACATTCTTCTTATCCTCTGTGCACACTAATGGTCACCCCTGCTTCGTCTTCCACATCTCTTCCCAAACAATCAATGATCTACTCTGCGGCTCTTCAAGTGGATCTATTCTGGAAGTTGCAGATCAAAAGTATATGGCCTTCATGTTCATCTGGCATGTTAGTTCGTCCACACTGTAAGGTGTTGGGGACACTTCTTTCACTTTGATGCCTGAGTCCTCAAACCCAGAGATAGTTACAAGTGTTGGCAAGGACCGCCTCAGACATGGCTGCTGGGAATGTACACAGTGGTGCTGCTTTGGAAAAGAACTTGTCAGGTCCTCAAAATATGGACAGTACCCTAGTGGATGCCAGGAATCAGTTAACTTTTAAAAAAAAATACAGCACCTCGACAGGAACAATTCTCCCTAAGGACAAGACAAGCCTTAGAGGCCATATCCAGGGACTGGCATTGGGCTACTTTTTCAGTAAGTGGACCCTATGCTAAGATGGCTTTGCCTCCATCCAGGGTGACCCTTTGCATGGAGTAGACCCATCTTAATTTTCTTTTTACATTTTAGTGTGTGTGTGTGTGTGTGTATTATTTGCACACACACCACAGGGCAACTGTGGAGGTCAGTTCTCTCCTACCTTTAATCATATGGGTCCTGGGGATTGAACCCAGATCATCAGTGTTGGCTACAAACACCTTTATCCACGGAACCATCTTTTCAGCCCCAGGAGTGGTCCCTTTTGTAAAGCCTTGCTAAGCCTAGGGCTGCCTCTGCCTGGCCTCCTCTGATTCTCTGCAGTACACATGGCATCAAGTGACAGGAAGGATGCTCAGATGACCTTCACCTGGGCATCACGGAGACCCTTATTATAGCATTCTGGAGATGAAGGCAAGAGGATCAGAAGTTCAAAGCCATCCTTGGCTACATAGTGACTCTGAGGCAGCCTGGACTACCTGACATATTGTCTTAAAAATAAACAACAATAATAATAGTAATAATAATTCTGAACCCACAGTGTAGAGGAAGAAAGGGGGCCATTTAGTGCATAAAAGAAGAAGGAAGGGGGCTGGAGAGATGGCTCAGCAGTTAAGAGCATTGCCTGCTCTTCCAAAGGTCCTGAGTTCAGTTCCCAGCAACCACATGGTGGCTCACAACCATCTGTAATGAGGTCTGGTGCCCTCTTCTGGCCTGCAGACACACACAGAGATAGAATATTGTATACATAATAAATAAATAAATACAAAAAGAACAAGGAAGAAGAAAATGAGTGTCTGAAGTGTAAAAGGCTTCTCTCTTCCAAGAGTTCCCATTTCACTCGTAGAAGACCACCCAACAGGGAAGGCTGTATCCCATGAGGCCTTTTCCAATCTCGTGAGAAAGGTCAGTGCTGTGCAGCCCTGTCCTCTGGGCATGACAGCCACCGCCTTTGTACTCAAGGCAGCGACACTGACCCACAGGCGACCCTCAAGGGCTGGCCTGTCGACATCCCTTAGAGAAGGATGGGGCAGGATGGGTCATCAGACTCTCACCTGAGATCCCAGCCTTCACACTAGCCTGCCCCACACCTTCCTCCCAGCTGCGCATATTCTACCCCAGCTGCTTCCATGGCCTCATGGGATATAATGGAGTACATGGACTAGGAATGTTATCTGCAGGCTATTGCATATATGCAGTTATGAGGAGCTCACTAGGGTGAGGCATTCCATTGGTGGCACTGGCTGAAGGTCACCCACTGAGCTGGTTAGCTGTGCTGCGTTTCATTTTCTTGGTCAATTTGACACAATTTGGGGTCATCCATGAAGAGGGAGACTGAGTTAAGAAAATGCCTCCCTCAGGTTGACCTGTAGGGAAGTGTGTAGGGGTATTTTCTAGATTAATGATTAATATGGGATGGCCCGGCCCTTTGTAGGCATGCCATCCACCCTGGGCAGGTTGTCTTAGGTTCTGTAAGAAAGCAAGCTGAGAAAGCCATGTTGGAGCAAGCCAGTAAGCAGCACCCCCCATGGCCTCTGCTTCAGCTCCTGCCTCCAGGTTTCTGCTTTGAGTCCCTGCCCTGATCGCCCCCATTGATTGCTGTGATGCAGAAGTACAAGATTAAATAAACCCTTCTGGGCTGGAGAGATGACTCAGAGGGTAAGAGCACTGGCTGCTCTTCCAGAGGTCCCAAGTTCAATTCCCAGCAACCACATGGGGGCTCACAACCACCTTGCCAGCAGTACATTTTATGCTTAACAAATAAATCTTTTTTTTTAAAAAAAAAAAAAAAGAGAGCCGGGCAGTGGTGGCACACACCTTTAATCCCAGCACTCGGGAGGCAGAGGCAGAGATCTCTGTGAGTTCGAGGCCAGCCTGGTCTACAAGAGCTAGTTCCAGGACAGGAACCAAAAGCTACGGAGAAACCCTGTCTCGAAAAAATACAAAAAGAAAAAAAAAAAAAAAAAAAGGAAGAAAGAAAAAGAAAAACTTAAAAAATAAATAAATAAACCCTTCCCTCCCCAAGCTGCTTTTGGTCATGGTGTGGATCACAGCACTAGAAAGTCAACTAGAAAACCTGCATGCCTCTAAGTAGCTCCTCATCCGTGCTCCTGTGAATAAGCCCAAGAACCTGCACCAAGCGAGACATGGATGGGACCGGCACTTCGGTCCAATTCTGGTGCCCTGTTTGGGGTGGGGAGATGTTTGCTCACATTTCCCCAGGAATAGCAAACACAGCACTCATGCCCGAGGCACAAAGGAATAAAACATCAGACCCTTCCTTCATCTCCTGGCTGGAAAAGGGATGGGGGAAAGAAGGGTTTTCAGAGCATCCCCGCCCCCTGGGTGATCAAAGATTAAAAGCAGAGCCGTACTTGACCCCATAGGCAAAGATGGTGAGGCCGATCAGGACACCGATGCTGCCATCCAGGTACCAGACTTTGGCGTTGTGTTTGAACACTTCGGCACTCAGGAGGATGGAGAAGCCCATCACTCCCCCGACAAGGGAGTTGAACCCTGCAAAAGAAGACAGATCACATACCAATGTGAAGTGGACATTTCACAATCTAGGCGATCAAGTCTACAGACTACAGACGAACATAACAGGCTTCATTCTGTAGAAGGAACCTGCACATACACACTGCTAATGGATTGTTTGTTCTGAGTTAACCTCCAATCTGGATGCCATCCAAACAGCTGGCTCAGGAGGAATCCAAGGCTCTTAGTGGGGAGGTTTCCTCCACGCTACACAGAGAGAGGAAAAATGATGAAGGAGAAACAGAGCCCAGTGGGCGAGACTCCACGGAATGAATGCCTGGCTGCCTTTGCTTCCTCTCCCTGTATAGCTTGCCCGCTGGAGATGAGATGGGAGGCACACCTCTGGGCTGTGAAGCCACTGTCTTCTCAGGCTGCAGGCTGTCTGAACAACAGTTTAAAGACTTATTTCCGCGGGCTAGGGAGGTGGCTCAGATGGTGTGCACCCCCAGCAGAGATGACCAGCCAGACACACTGGCATGGGTCTGTGAGTCTGTGAGCATTCCTGTGGCAAGATGGGACACAGTGACAGCTGACTCATCCTGGAAGCTCGCTGGCCAGTGGCAAACAAGAGACACTGTCTCAAACAAGGTGAGAGGTGAGAACCAACACCTAATGTTGTCCTCTGACCTCTACAGGCATGCCCTGGCACACACAAACACTCACACATAATAATATGTATGTGTGTCTACACACACTTGGGTGGGGTGTGGTAACAAAAAATATAAAGCAGAAAGACACCTCTATTTCTAGTCACACCCCACTGCCAACCATTCCACCTCCTCCATGGGGTCTTGAATTTAGTGGAAGAGCTCCTTGTTTGGGCCTTCCCATGCCTGTTGCTTCCCTCCACTCCCAGCAGGGGGCGCAGTGCCCACACTCCTTCTCTCTACAGACTGCCCCACCTGCCTCCTTGTCCTCAGTTTGTTTCTCTCATGGTTCTTTCCTCCCTAGCGTGGTATTTCTGACGTTTGTATTTTGCCATCTCCCACTAGAAAACTAAGCTGGGAGGCAGAAGTTCTGTCCCATTCCTTGCCGTCTCTCATATCCCAGAACAGGGTGCTGATGGTGCTGTAATAATTAGTGACTGGCCACAAGACTGGGGAGAGGAAAGGAGGGTGTGTGGTGTGACCTCAGCTGTCCCTGTAGTGTGTGTGTTGCGGGGAGGACAGCCTTGCTGCACTGCTCATAAAAGGAGAGGAGAAGAAGTTCCCCAGGCAGCCACTAGATGTCCACATAGTTCCACTGATCCAGCCCACATCAGTCAGCACCACGGACAGCTGTCCAAAGCCTCCCTGGTGAGCCGCTGAGGCCAACTCAGCTTGAGGCTTGGGGGGGGGGGGGGTGTCCTCTGCTTGTGACATAGCCTGACTCTTAGTGTCTTCTCTTTCACAGACAGGGACTAGGGACTGATTCCAGACTGTCTCACAGCCCTCTGCCCCGTGTGTGTGTGTGTGTGTGTGTGTGTGTGTGTGTGTGTGTGAGAGAGAGAGAGAGAGAGAGAGAGAGAGAGAGAGAAGAGGTCACCCTCAGCAGTCATTCTCATATCACATTCTATCCTGTTTTTCAAGACAGTCACTGAACCTGGAGCTAGCTGGGCTGCCTAGCTTGCCTCTACCTCTGCCCCTGCCTCTGCTTCTGCTCTTGCTTCTGCCTCTGTCCCTGCCCCTGTTCCTGCCTTTGCCACTGCCTCTGCCTCTGCCTCTGCCCCTGCCTCTGTCCCTGTCCCTGCCTCTGCTTCTGCCCCGGCTGCCAAGACTGCGATCACAGGGTCCTGAAAGTTCTCAAGTGCCCACACACACACACACCAGTCTCTGGCAGTCACTCACCAGACCCAGGTTTGTGTCCTCACTTCTAACCTCAGAGATGTTCTACAGAATAAACCCTGTGGCTGGCTTGACAGCACAGAAGAGTGGGGGCCATGCTGACTGGAGATGCCATTGACCTGACTTTCTCGACTAGATTAGAATCTGTGTAACTAATTGGTCTGTGTAATCTTTAATTCCATGCCGAACAGTCTGATAAGGATTTTCACAGAGGTTCCAAGTGTTTTCAAGTTGGAAAGGAATGAGACATCTGGCCGCTCTTCTCAGGGGGTTCCCTGATTCCTTCAGACTGCCAGCCCTTACTGGAAACTTCCACAAGGTGGCCTCTTGCATAGTTGTCTTACTTTGATTACTCATTTGTGCTCAGGGCTATTTTAGTCTTGCAGTCCAGAATGGCCTCACACTCACCGAGAATGAGCCTGAACTGCCCATCCTCCGGCCCTCCTCCTGAGCGCTGGGATTACAGGCTTATACCACCATGCCCGGTTTAGTAGGTGATTTAGTAGGTACTGGGAATGGAATCCAGATCTCTACTCATTCAGGTGAGCACTCCTACTAACAGAGCTACATTCCTGGCTTCTGTCTGAGGGCATGTTTACATGCTTACTGGATGTCTACAGCAACCAACCAGCTGGACCAAGAGCCTCCAAGGTGCACGAAGAAGATGCCGGCCGTTTCCCCCACCCCCTGCCTCCACCCCCCACTAGCTGCTGTCACTTTCCCCTGAAGACCTGCTTCTTGAATGCCAAGACACTTGTCCCCCATGCAACACACACACCAAGGACCCAGCCGGCTGAGCCAGCGGGGCCCAGCTCCCACAGAGCTCCAGTCCAGGATGCATTGACATCATGGGAACAAGTCAGGGGCTTTCTAGCTCATAGGATAAGGGTCTAGAATGTCACTTCTGGTCTCTGTTGGGAGAGAAGATTTTTGGCTCTGCCTCAACCAGAGGAACAGCCACAGGGCATGCACCAAAGTGAGGCAAGATAGAAATGTAGGTAAAGTTTAGCGGGGGAGGGAGGACAAAAAGAGAAAGAAGCCCCTCCCCAGGCATCTAGCTAAGTCCACTCACCAGCAGACAAGCAAGAATCTCCTAGTAACTGACAGCTACTTAAGGTTTCTCTCCCATCTTAGTCACAAGGCTAAAATTTTCTGGGAATCTCACCAGAAAGCCCATTTCAGGGAAAGAGCACGTACTAACCCTCTGTGTCACCTCATGGCTCCTAGCTTCCCCTTATCAAGATATTGTCCCATCCAAGGGATCTCCAGAAGGTTGGAAAAGAGAAGGAAAATGTGTGTGTGTGTGTGTGTGTGTGTGTGCGCGCGCGCGAGAGAGAGAGAGAGAGAGAGAGAGAGAGAGAGAGAGAGAGAGGGAGGGAGGGAGGGAGGGAGGGAGGGAGAGAGAGAGAGAGAGAGAGAGAGAGAGAGAGAGAGAGAGAGTTCTTAGCAACCTTTGAAATGGAACTTGAGAGACACCAGAAGGGTCTAATGGCCAATGCTATGACAGCTAATCACTTGCTGTGCCCTGAGGACTTCACACCCACACTGGGGTACATCTTACTTCCCATATTCTCCCCTGAGAGGCACCCTCTCCTCGTGTGGCTGTGTCTACTGTCTTCTGAGCACCTTCTTGGAAGCCTATATTAAAATATTTTTAATAAGCCAACCAAGTCCACTTTACTACAGCAGCTACTTCTGAAATTCTTTCCAGCATCAAAGCCATCAATCCCAAGTGGCCGGGACTAAAGTCCCTAAAAGTCTAAGAAAATGCCTCAGGCTACTGAGGGTGGCAGAATGGAGCAGTATATTGTCTTCTCATAACTGAAAAAATGGACCCCCAACAATAAGAATAGCCAGGGATCCTCAATCCTGACCCCACTCTGCTTCCAAAGAGAGAAGAAAGGGTTGCAGGTAGCTCCCTAAACCTAATGAACAACTGGAGCCCAGATTCTGGACTGCACAATGAGGAGATGGCTGTAATTACTATAGCTCCATCTGCCAGAGACACCCCCTTGTAGAAGAAGGGGTCTGCTGCCATTATTCATGGCGGGTCATTCTCTCGAACCATTTCTTGCGGCCACCTCCTTGCCTCCCCAGAACCCTGTCCCCACTTCAGTGGCCACTTCCCTCCCTTCTGCTCCCCACTCAAGACACCCAGAAGGGCCTTCAGAATGCATTAGTCATGTCTCCCAACTACTTAAATATTTGATAAAATAGCCATGTTTCTGTCTTTCTGTCCGGGGAACATTCATTCCCTGGGATCTGCCCCCACTAACTTCCAGAGCCCTTTTCCAGCTGGTAGGAACCCCTTTTCCTGGAGGAAGCCAATCAGCAGTCATCTGCTTGAGATCGAATACTTTCGCTCCACATACTGACTTTTCTTTGGAGTTTCCTTCCAGTTTGAGCATGATGGACACATCCGCTTAGGTAGGAAATCAAGCTCAGAGGGAGCAGAGGAGATAGCTCGGCCTGTAAATGGAGACTTGAGTTCTATTCCCCAGAATCGATGTAAAACAAAACAAACCAAAGAGCCAGGCATCGTGGCATGCATGTGTAATCCCAGCTCTGGGGAGGGAGAGAGAGGTGGATTCTGGGCTCACTAACCAGCTTGTCTGGTCTACTTGATGAGAGACCAAGTCACAAGCCAAGGAGGACAGTGACTGAGGAACAATGACCACGACTGTCCTTCGGCCTCTCCGTGTATGTGCAACACAGCGGGACACTCAGTACAGTGGTGGGAAGTCGCAAGTTCAGGGAAGCCTAATCACAGATCTGAGTATGGAGCAGCTCTGAGGATAAAGGAAAACCACATACACAGGCGCGGGGCCCATCAGTCCAGAGAGATGAGGTCATACTCTAACGATGGTCGTTGTCAACTTGACACAGTCAAGCATCAAGGGGCGAGAGAGTCTCAATGAGGGATTGCCTAGGTCAGGTTGGCCTGTGGGTTTGGAGAATTGTCCCTATTGACTTAATTGCTGTGGGAATAACACCTGAAGGGGGCAGCACCGGCCTCTGGATTTGGGCACCGGGCTGTAGCTGAGTGGAAAAGCTAGCCAATCACTAACAAGCAAGCACACGTTCATTCTCTCTGCCCTTGACTGTGGATATGTTGAACTCCTTCAAATCCCTTTCCTGATTACCTGAAATGATGGGATGAGCCCTGGGAGTATGAGCCAAATAAACTCTTTCCCCCTAAGTTGGATTGGTTGGGGTGTCTTGTCACAGCCATAGGTGGTCTTTGTGATCATGGACAGGTCTGGGGGTGGCTCTGACCACTGAGTTCATGCTCAGGCTTCAGGCTTCATCGCAGCGGAGGTGGGGGCAGCAGAAGGCATACAGACCCCAGGCCTCTGCAAGCCAGCAGAGCCTGGGGACTGATAGGTCTACCTTGGAAATGATAGTGGGAGTGCCTGGGCTGTCCCCATCCTAGGAGCCTAGCAGGCCCTTCTGACTACTCTGGGGCCCACCCCCACCCCAGGCACCAGGTGGTGAAACACAGATTGGGGAGACACAGAATCCACAGCTTAGAGAGACCAAGGCCCCACCAGGCTCTGTTATCTTCTGCTTGAAGAACCCGGGCCACAAATACATCCTCAGAGAAAAACAGTCTCAGCCTACAATCCTTCAGTTTAAATAAATTTGACCGATGTCTTGTTTGCGTTGTGAGGCAAGGTTTCATGTAGCCTGTGCTGGCCTTGAACTTACTATGAAGACAAGGGTAACCTTGAACTTATGGCCTTCCTACCTCCACGTCTCTAGTGCTGGATGGCAGGTGTGCACCACTATACCCAGACAATACTCTACTGAGTCTTGAACCCCCAAGGCTTGTGCGTGCTAGGCAAGCACTCTATGAACTGGTTATGTCCCTAGCTCTAGTTCTTTCCTTAAGACAATAAAGGGCCAGGCCTAGTGGGACACATCTGTAATCCCCATACATGGGAGGCTAAATAGGAGAAAGGAAAGTCCAAGGCCAGCCTGAGCTCCATACAAAAGAAACCCAGTCGTGCCGGGCGGTGATGGCACACACCTTTAATCCCAGCACTCGGGAGGCAGAGGCGGGCGGATCTCTGTGAGTTCGAGACCAGCCTGGTCTACAAGAGCTAGTTCCAGGACAGGCTCCAAAGCTACAGAGAAACCCTGTCTGGAAAAACCAAAAAAAGAAACCCAGTCATTCCTGCTCTGTTTTATATGATTAAACTTAGGGTGGTAGACGCCTGCTTTGGCGTGAGAGCTCCAAGAATCACAAAGTAAGAAGTTTGGAAAATAGAGCTGGTGGTAAATGGTTCCCCGTGTTGTCGAGTTCACATGCAAGACCAGCATCTACCAGCATCCAGAGGCACCTGCCCTGGCTCAGAGCTCAGCCCTCAGACAAGAAACGCCTGCACGACTCACCATCTGTGATGAGAGCTCTGCTTGTCAAGACCTTCCCCAGCATAAACTTCAGCACAGCCAGGACGCTGCAGAGGATCCCACTTAAAATGGAGACACTGAACAGGAAGTCATCCTAGAAGAGAGCATTCCAGATTTTGACAAGTCATCTCTCGCTAGCGCAATCATCTTTCCCACCAGCACTGTGTAAAGTATAAAGGATGGGTCAGACACGCTGCCGCCAGGTGGCAGTATACTGCAGGTGGTCACCTGTGCGCCTGGAGTTGAGAAAGGATTATTAAAAATAGCCAGACTAATATTTACAAAGCCATTATGTATTCCCCCTGCCTGCAGTTCTGCTAAAACACACAGCAATCATTGATTGTTACAGGATTGGTTATAATGCCAAGAATGATGTCTAAGTAGTATTCTCTAGAGAATTCACAAAGCAGGCAACTGAGAATTTGGGGACCACGTCACTGCCCAAGAACCCTTCCTCACAGAACAAACTGGTTTAGCCACAGGATCCTTTCTCTCTAGAGATGCTTAAAACCCTATGTGGTTTTTTTTTTTCATTCACACAATTGAGATTTCAAAGATAATCTTCAAGGTGGGAAAAAATGGTGCCTAAAAATAGTCCACTGTTGACGTGATTTTCACACTTCCTGTAGGTGCGGCATTAACTTTTGCAAGCAAACGGTGAGTCACATGTTCAAGGCTGGCGTCTTCATTGCTATGTCCTGACATCAGGCCCCTCGAGATCCCCTTTGAGCTCCCACGCGTTGCTCCCCTGAGACACAGCCTCCAGGTTCTCCGGGATTAAAATGCAACTGCCAGCAGAAATTCAACACGGGAGTGGATATTTAGAGAGAAATAGGATCACCCTTTAGCAGTTTATTAATAAAATCGCTATCCTAGTGACAGACGCAGGGACAAAGGAGACAGCTTGCCTTGCCAGGACTGAAACTAAACTAAATAATTTTTTTAAAAAAATTATCTCTCTGGACTTGGGGTTTCTATACAACGTGAAAGCATCTCCGCCCCCGTCCCGCAATCGCCCACCATTGACAGCAGCAGCTCCAACTGTATGCGCTCACAAATTCTTATCTACTCGTCCTCCTAGGAAGACCAACGACCCCAGCATCACCAGCTCTCCTGGAACCTGGGCTGGACTTAGAGCCTCAAGACTAGCAGTTCCAACACAGGGAAGGGAAACGGAGGCAGCTGAGATGGCTTGGTGGGTGAGGATGCTTGCTGCCAGGCCTGCTGGCATGAGCTCAATCCCTGGGGCCCATGTGGTAAAAGGAGAACTGGCTGCCCAAGTTGTCCGTGGTCTTCCACCCATGCTGTGGCACATACATGCACACTCAAGTGCATGCACGCGCGCGCACACACTCTAAGTTTAAAATGTAATAAAAAATGAAAGAAATGGGGGATGGTAGCACTAGCGGGCTTTAACTCACCAGACTCTGCCCGGACGAGTAATGGAGACTAACATGAGTCGTGATACCACACATCCTATGAGGAGATGGGACTGTGCCTCTGCCGTGACTCACCCCAAAACCATGGCCTCCATTTAATGCGAAGACTATCAAGCAACCCTAAACTAAATTATCGCTTAGAAAACACCTGACCTTCATTTCCCACATATCAAAGGTACATCTGGAACCTGTCACCGACTGAACACTGGGAGGTTTGGTAATTAAATCTAGCATGGCATTTGAGGTAGGTTCAGGGACTAAAAGCATCAGTGGAAAAACTGGGACATTAAAACTGCATCCATGACTTTGTCTGTAGCGTTATGAGCCCATCGTGGGGAGGACACACTGGGGTTGTGAGATGATAATACGGGGACACGTGGGGAACATGAACCCTCTGCACACAGATTCTTCATGGCTCTGAAGTGTCCACAGGTGGGGGGTGTTGCTTGAAGTGTTATCCCCTCAAGTGGATGGTCTGAGTTTGATCTTCAGAACCAACAAAAAACAAGCCAGGTACAATGCAATCCCAGACCTGGGGAGGCAGAGACAGCTGGATCTCTGGGGCTCACTGGCCAGAAGGATCGATCTAATCAACAGGCCCAGACCAATACACACACACACACACACACACACCACGTACACTTGCACACATATGAATGCATACACATACAAACCTACATCTACAAACATGAAACACTGAGCTAAAACATTTTCAGATTTATAATTATCTTCAAATAATCCATCTCACGGAACTGTGACCTCTAATTCTTGTCCACATGAGGACACAGAAAAGTCAGCCATCTTTGAACCAGGAAGCAAGTCATCACAAGATGCCAAAGAATCGGTACCTTGATCCTTGGATTTCCAATCCCAGAAGCATGAGTAGTAAATCTCCATTATTGGTAAGCAACCTAGGATGCTTGGTCACAGGCTGAGACTCCCTAGTCAGGACCCACACAGCACTCTCAGGAGCTGTGGTCACCTGCACATGAGTGGCTCCATCAACGGTCTGCCTCAGAAAGAGGAGTCTAGTCATGAGAATCCCTCATGAAGGGCAAAAAAAAAAAAAAAAAATCTAAATAATCCCTCACAGGTGTGCCTAGAGGCTTCTCTCTAATGTGAGTGTATATCAGTGTTTCTCAGCCTGTGGGGCATGACTGCTTTGGGGCTGAATGACCCTTTCACAGGGGTCACCTAAGACCATCAGAAAACAGATATTTGCATTATGATTCATAACAATAGAAAAATTATAATTATGAAGTAGCTAGGAAATTTTATGGCTGGGGGTCACCACGGCATGAGGAACTGTGTTAAGTGGCCATAGCGTTAGGAAAGTTGAGAACCACTGTTGTAGATACTGCCATGGTGACAATCAGTATTACCACCACATACAGGAGTAGTGGCCCTCTTACAAAGAGACCTCAGAAAACCCCCTTGAGTGGGGACAAGGCAAGAAGACAAGGCTGGCATCTTGCCTTCCCTACCTCCAGGACTGTACTAAGCAAGCATTGCTTGCAGACGGAACCCTAGTCCATGGCACTCTGTGGCAGTAGCCCAAATGGTCTGAGATAGTATCTGTGCCCCTCAACTGTTTGCTGTTTTGGTTTTGGTTTGGTTTGGTTTTGCTCTCTGCATATGTACGCCTGTGCCTAGTGTCTGCAGAGGCCTGAGAAGGCATTGGATCCCCCGGAACTGGAGTTATAGGTAGCTGTAAGTCACTACACAGGTGCAAGGGGACTGAACCCACGTCCTGTGGGGGCCATCCATGCTATCAGCCACCAAACCGTTTCTCTAGCCTCTGTGTGTACTCAATTTATTCTCAACTTGATACAACCTAGAGCCACAAGAGGGAACCTCAACTGAGAAAGTGTGTGTGTGTGTGTGTGTGTGTGTGTGTGTGTGTGTGCTCATGGGTAGGGAGACAGGGAATAGAAAGAGATGGAGATGGCGGGGAAGAGAAAGAAGCAAGATAACCAAGAGAGCCTTCTTCTATGTATGATTCCTGCTTGAGTTCTTCTCTTGACTTCCCTCAGTGGTGGACTGTGATATGACCCAGAATGTCAAGCCAAGAGACCCTTTCTCCCCTAAATTACTTTTGGTCAAGGTGTTTTATCAGAGCATCAGAAACCAAACTAGGGCAGTGCCTGACCCATGCTGAAGGACATCTTACAAGAAGCCACCTCATCTGCCCTCAAATGCCTCTTGTCTTTCAGACTGCATGTGACAGTGGCTGTTGATCAGTCCACGTGAGTGGCATGTCTTTGTGAAGAGCTAATAATGGACAGACTCTAATTTTCCAATTTTACTGGTCCCAAACTGTGAAAAACAACACCTTAGCTTGGCAGGACCAACAGCTGGTGGAGGAATCCAAGAACTTGGAAGATTCTAGATGCTGAACGCATGTTTCGGCTAGGTGGTAGCCCAGTCTGTGGTGTGTTCCCCTTGCAAGCATGAGGACCTGGTTTCCACCCTCAGAATCTGCATGAAAAAGCTGGCATTGTGGCATGCCCTCACAATCCCAGTGCCAAGGAAGTGGATAGAGACAGGTGGGTCCCTAGGACTCATGGGCCAAACAACCTAGCCTAATGGGTGAGTTACAGGTTCAGTGAGAAACTCTGCCTCAAAAAATAAGGTAGACAGTTGTTCCGTCTTCTACTTGTATACACACAAAGGCACACACCACAGACATATACCTGCACACACACAAACATGCACACAGACACATCCATACAAAGCTTTGAATCCTACACTCCAATCTAGGTCAAGATTAACCCCATCTCACCTAGCAGAATGAATCAGGGAAACAGTCTGAGTTCCACATGTGACCACACCAGAGGAGAAAGCCTCCCTCCTGCGGTGAAGAGGGATCCATGACCTCACACAGCAGCAGAGTTGGACCCAGCCCTAGGGAGAAGCCACTTCATGCTGCACTAAGGAAACAGGCTTGGAGAGCAGGGGTGGGGTGGGGGTGACCTCAACCCACTGGCTAAGACCTGTACTCCAAGTTCACATCCACTGGCTCTCCCTCACAGTCTAACAAAAGCTACCTACCCCTTCGATTTTTTGGCCCAGACTAGAAGGTGGAGAAAATTACAGCTCTTTTTTTTTTTTAAGACTCAAAGGCAATTAGAGAGGAGCTGTAAAACCTGAGCTAGGTGAGGATTCTAGTGCTGACGTGTGACATCTGTCATTGTGTGCGTGCGAGGTTAAGGACCTTGCCAGTCAGACCAGGTTCTCCAGTGAGTTTTTCTCCTGGGAGATGCCAGGCCCCAGCATTGCATCAGCTAACAGCATGTGGGCTGATAAATCAAAGTCCCCATGAGATAGAATTCTCTATTTCCACAACAGATCAGAGGATCCCAGGCCAGCCAAAGCTACCGGATGGAGCTGACCCCTCGGCCTTCACCTGCTATTTTAATTCTGCCGGAGTCATGCTGACCTCCTTCTGGTCCCTCAGTATGGATACTGTGTGTTCCTATCCCATCTTTGTATAGGCTCCTCTGCCTGCCTGGAAGCTCGGTGTGTCTTTATGCCCTTCCATCGTCACCCTTCTCTCTGAAAACAACACCTCCTCAACCAGGTGGTCCTGAATGCAATCCTTCTTATCTTCGGATGGTTTTGCTGTCAAGTGGAAATAGCCCCCCATAGGGTCGTG